AGGGACCTTAAAGCTCATCCAGTTCCAGCCCCCTGCCACAGGCAGGGACACCTTTCACTAGACAAGGTTGCTCCAAGCTCCGTCTGACCTGGCCTTCAACACTTCCAGAGATCAGTGCCTACATGTTGCCTACATGTTCCTTACAGGCTGTTGGGCAAAGACTGGAGCATCGTTACAGTAATGTGACTAGCTAAAGGGCTTCTCTGATTATAATTTTAATGGGTTTTGGTTAGCTTTGTGTTTCTGGTGCTTCAGCTAATGACTCATTTAATGGAGTTTCCACTCATCTTGGGTATTCTCTTGCCATAGACAAGCCTACAGGCTGCTCTGTGAAGTGTTCCAGGCAGGATGCGTGTGTTTGTTTAGCCAAGTGTTCTTTCTCATCTTGTCTTGCTCTTAGTTGTGGGAAACTCTTAGTTGTGCTGGGTGCTCCCAGATGGAAGGAAGAAACTTTCTACCCTTGACAAAATCATAGAATTGTATTGTTGGAAGGAACCTTAAAACAGGAATCCCTGTGAATGCAGGAATTGCTTTAATTTTGGACAAACCTTTAGCAGTGCTGCTGATCACAGAATGTTAAAATGCATTTAGGGCAATAGCGACTTTTCAGACTGCTGGGCCTTTTTGCAAGCACAGTGGTGGAGGGCTGTGGCCTTTAACATAACATTAGTGGTTGGGTTAGAATGATGCTCAATTTAGCAGAGTGCAGGGAGAGTGAATATAGTGCTTCCAGCTGCATGCCCTCTATCCCTCCCTCCTTGCTCCCAGGAGCTGCTGAGGACTAACATTGTCCTGAAGCTGCTTCAGGGGATGGTTCAAAATGGGGCATAAGTGCTTGACTGTACCTTTCCCATCACCTCTCTGATAAATGATTTAAGAGAGTGGTGAGTGGTGCTGCGAAACTGAATTGGAGCAAAGAACCTGTTATAGAATCCCATACTGGTTTGAGTTGAAGGGACCGTAAAGCTCATCCAGTTCCAACCCCCTGCACGGGCCGGGACACCTTCTACTAGACCAGGTTGCTCCAAGCTCTGACCAATGTGGCCTTGAACACTGCCAGGGATGGGGCAGCCACAGCTTCTCTTGGCAACCTGTGCCAGTGCCTCACCACCCTTATAGTAAAGAAGTTCTTCTTAATCTCTAATCTGAATCTTCCTGTTTCACAAAGTTGAACATTTATTGTGGATTTAGAATCATAGAATCAGAATTGTTTGGGTTGGAAAGGACCATAAGATCATCTAGTTCCAGCCCCCCTGCCATGGGCAGGGACACCTCACACTAGACCATGTCACCCAAGGCTCTCTCCAACCTGGCCTTGAACACCGCCAGGGATGGAGCATTCACAACGGCCTTGGGCAACCCATTCCAGTGCCTCACTACCCTCACAGTAAAGAACTTCTTCCCTATATCCGATCTAAACTTCCCCTGTTTAAGTTTGAACCCGTTACCCCTTGTCCTATCACTACAGTCCCTAATGAAGAATCCCTCCCCAGCATCCTTATAGCCCCCCTTCAGATATTGGAAGGCTGCTATGAGGTCTCCACGCAGCCTTCTCTTCTCCAGGCTGAGCAGCCCCAACTTTCTCAGCCTGTCTTCATATGCAAGGTGCTCCAGTCCCCTGATCATCCTCGTGGCCCTCCTTTGAACTTGTTCCAACAGTTCCATGTCCTTTTTATTTTGAGGACACCAGAACTGCACACAATACTCCAAGTGAGGTCTCACAAGAGCAGAATAAAGGGGCAGGATCACCTCCTTCAACCTGCTGGTCACGCTCCTTTTGATGCAGCCCAGGATATGGTTGGCTTTCTGGGCTGCAAGCGCACACTGCAGCCAGCTCATGTTCATTTTCTCATCTACCATTATTTTCTTATCTCCAGTTTCCTTCAAAGATGGAAGGACTGGTAGTACTTTTCCAGGCTTCATCCTTGATGCATATTTAATATTTTCCCTGGTGGTGACCCTGACTGCAGCATGCAGGAGTATGATTGTTCCAGTGTTTTCTTCCTGTTTTATCAATAACTCATGCCTTTTCATGAGACTTTTCCCATTTTTCTACTTCTTGAGTCTCCTGGCAAAGCTCATTATGGGTTCATCGCCCAGCTTAGTGTTACCCCCCATTGGTGTTCCTGGCAGTACATCCTCACTCGCCATTCAGCTGTAGCCAGGAGCACACAGAGCATCTCCAAACATCACCCAGGGCACGATTTTCCAAAAGCCTTCAACTTCACATTAATTCTGCCACTGCTGAAGTAAGAAAACAAATCCGTCTGGGATCTGAGGACACTCGGAGTGCAAGCAAGGCAGACGGGAGCATGTGAGACCGGGGCTTTGGGAGCTTTCCTGATTCTGCAGGTTTGCCTCAGCTGACTGCCAACCTAGCAGAAGGGCAGCCCTGTGACTGCCTAAAGAGATTTCCAGGTGCCAGGAAGATACCAGAAAATAAGTCAGGAGAGGCTGATTTTTGAAACTTACTGGCTGTTGCTGCTGCGGCATTTTCCTATTGTCAAATTAGAAGCAATTGATGACATTAGAAAGAAGTTCTTTACTGTGAGTATAGTGAGGCCCTGGTACAGGTTGCCCACAGAAGCTTTGGCTGTCCCACCCCTGGCAGTGTTCAAGGCCAGGTCAGATGGGGCTTGGAGCAACCTGGTCTGGTGGAAGGTGTGTCCCTGCCTATGGCAGGGGATTTGAACTGGATGAGCTTTAAGGTCCCTTCCAACCCAAACCACTGTGTGATTCTGTGATTTCTCCATAGTTGGACCATAGGATGCCTGTTGCAGAGCCCCGTGAGCCTGCTCACATCTGCTGTGGTGCCATTACATAGGTGCCGGGATGGAAAGAATAACTGTCAGGCCATAAAGAACTGGTTTTAGCATAAAGCTATAGCTGGACTTTGGGAAAATATGTATAAATGAGAGTATCCCTATCAGCTGACTGGTGAGAACGATGCTGGTCTTCTGGTACTTTATTTTAATGGTGATGAACACAGAACTGGACCTCAGATACCATTTGGATGCCTTGGGAAGGACTGGAATTGAATAAATGCAGCTTCACAGGTTGTCTTCTAAGCTCACTTTCCTGCAGGTTAGTGCCCTGCTGCTCAGTAAGACCACAGATGCTTTGCTGCATTACTAGAAACGCATTAAACAGTAACTACACAGTTTTGCTTTGAGATACACCCTTTTTTTTTTTAAGAAAAAATCAAGTTGATTTTCAAATAGACTAGAATTTAGACCTTAAGGATGAGAAAGCTTGAAGATAAGCAGCTCAGTTGCACTGGTGTACACTTACGGTGGCTTCACCAGCTCCCTTCATCCTATTTCTGGCTCAGCTGTTAGTGAAGGAAAAAGGCAAAGTTGTAGGAAGAGAGTGAAAGAACACTAGAGAAAGCACTACCACCCCCAAAACTGCTCACATAACAACTCAGGGTCATGTTACTGAGGAGAAAGGAGCAGTCAGAGATTGTAAGAGCGTAAACAAAGAATTAAGGCTTTCAGGGCATCATGGGAAAGCTATGTTGAAATAACCTGGGTGAGTAAGGAAATCAGATTACTAGTCATCAGGCAGAAATTTTGGTGTCTTTGTTGAATTTCTTTTACTACAAAACATTTACTGGAATGGGTGAGTTCTTCATATACTGTCATCTGTTTACCTAGGGCACCTGTGAAGAATCTGTCTTTCTGTGAGCAATTCACACTATCAGTTTGTTAGTATAATATTAAAACCACCAGTCAGTGTGCTTTGGGGCTTCTGAGAACTTGTGGAGCCAGGCTGTGCTGAGAGCTGCTGGCGATTTTAGGCACTTCTACTGAGGTGGATTGCAGTGGGCCACACTGATTTTTCAGCAGATGAGGCAGGGTGGTTTATGTCTATGGGCTCCAGATGTTAGCTGGAGTTCATTTACTTAAACTTCTGTGTGAGGTTCTTAAAATTTCTCCCTGACAGAATGGCATTCAGAGTTGGGAAGGGTAGAACATCTGCAGTAACTTGGTTATAAAGCAGTGGGTATTTAATTGATGGTGGAAATAGTTGGGTTTGAGATGTATGGAGGGAGATAGACACACATACACACACACAGACACACATTCCTCTTGCTTGGTATTTAAACCAGGGCTAGCAGTGGTAGGAGCCTCATCCTGGGCAGAGCAGTTAACCAGGGTCCCCACCATGACCATCTGGAGGGGGTTCCCTGTGCCACCCAACCCTTCCTGGCTCAACATCTCTGAAGCCCTCTCTGATTTTTCTCTCTTTCATGGACGCCCCTTCTCACTTCACCTCTTCCCAAGGATTTCTCTCCCTTCAGATCTTTGAGACGCGAGTGGTATAATACCCATCCAGCACCATTCTGTGGATGGGTTGAGAAGGGTTGTTCTCCTGGACAGAAGGTCTCTAATGATGGCACAAGTTCCTCCGTGCCCCTTCAGCCATTCGCTGCTCTGTGCTCTGAGGGCAGCAGCCTGCAGGAGGGCTGAGGGCTCAGGCACTGATGGTGGGAAGCAGTAACAGTTATTGAAACTGTTGTAGTTTCCAAACCAGCATTCCTGCTACTTCTGCCCAGGGACTCCTCATGTGCTGGCCTGCAGTGGCAGTGGGAGCAATGGGTTTGGACAACCCCAAGCAAATTTAGATGAAGGGAGAAGCCACAGGCTAGGAAATGTGCTCTTAAAAGCCTGTGCTGACCTTAGTCTTCCCCTGGGAACTTGAAAAGACATGAACACAGTGAAAGGCAAGTACCCCCCTCCAAGAGGCATAGTCTTCTCAGCATCATCTTTGCTCCAGGCACCAGCATTAGAACTGTTCTTCTGGGGCTGATCTTGCTAGTGTTTGTATCTCAGTAGACGCTGTGGGACTGATATATATTATCATGCTTAATGTATCACCAAAGTTATACTCTGACCAAGGAGGAAATGTGGGTGAAAATTGGGTGTATTTTATGCACGTTCCTGTTTGCTTGCCTAACAAGGTTTAATGTTCTTTTCCTTCCTTTTTCACTGATGCAGCTGAAGAATAAATTCATGAAGAAATTGCCCCGTGATGCTGAGGCCTCCAACGTGCTGGTTGGGGAGGTAGACTTCCTGGAGAGTCCCTTCATTGCCTTCGTCCGGCTGCAGCAGGCAGTCATGCTGGGTGCTCTGACTGAAGTCCCTGTACCTACCCGGTAAGAGAACTGAGCTCCTGGGAGGGGTACAAGAATGGGAAACTCCATTTCCACCTTTTCAGATAAAAAACCCAGGCCAGAAGATGTTCTCCATTACTTTCCATCATGTGATGTGTGTAACGATCAGAATTATTGGTTTAAAGTAACAAAACTGCAGCTGCTTAATAATCTTCAGGTCCTATTTGGTTAACCTGAATTTGGTTATAAGTTACCAGCTGTAAACCAGAACAGCATTACAGAAACATGCTAACTTTATAACTTAGTAGTAAAAGGCACTGCCAATGTGAAATTTAACTAATGGGGCTTTCTTCCTGCCCCTCATGATTCCCCCCCAGTGTCACTCAGATTCCCTCTGCATGTTTTGCAGTACGTATTTTTCCTCTTAAACTCACATTAGGAGAAAGATGCAGTTTGGCTCTGCTGGAGCAAAACCAGTAAGTTGGGTAAACTGAGGCATACAGTTCTGTTGGGGTGGTCACATTGTATGATCTAGCCAGGTTGGATGGGGCCTTGAGCAACCTGGTCTAGTGGAAGGTGTCCCTGCCATGTCAGGGGGTTGGAACTGCATGAGCTTTAAGGTCCCTTCCAACCCAAAGCATTCTGTTGATTTTGTGATTCTATGTTCCTGCTCATTGCAGGGGGGCTGGACTAGATGACCTTTGAAGATCCATTCCCTTCCAACCCCAGCTGTTATATGATTCTGTGGTGCTTTCTAATGCATGATTCAGAGAAAACTGTAACTTATTGTGACTCATGGCAAGTTAATCTGAGTCTCCCAAATATGAATATAATATATGATCTTAAATATTTGAATTCATTGCTTGAAGACGTATAACTGTCTCTACAGTGAGGGTTTTTATCTGCTAGAATAACAGAGTGCTATTTGAATTCTTAGCAATATTACCTTTCATTATACAATTGCATATTGTTTATCAAGTAATATAATAGAGAAAAATTATCAGTATAGATGTCCAGACCATCTGCTCTGTATTTGAGTGTTAATGTAGGAGTGTATCTTTGCTTCATGTGCAAACAAATACTCCATCAAGGTAAGAACCTCAGGCCTTGGCCCTGCTGTGCACCTCCAGTCTGCTGTGCTTCTCCTGTCAGCTTACAAAGGGTTTACTTTGTGATTTGCTTGTAATTAGGGATTGCAAATTGGACCTCTCACATCATCACTAATGTGCAAATACGTATTTTATGTGAACAGTCTCCAGGGCTTTACATACGCAGTGAAGATTGTGATTTGAATGCCTACAGGGTTTGAGGCTGTATCAAGTAATATTTTGTGAGATGTATGACGGCAGAAGCACATGGCTAGTGCATTACTGATACTGGAAGGAATCACAGCCATTGTATGGAGTGGAAGTTATATGGTTGTTATAATCTGTACCTTATTTTATGTACAGACCCAAGGAAAAAGAGGATCTAGTTCCGCTGTTTGTCTAACTGCCTCCTAGTAGTGCAGCAGTGTTTGTATTTCTTGGAGTTTCTGTAAGTGGCTCCTTAAAATAACCATGTCAACAGCTGTTTGCACACAGTGGGTATTCTGGCAGGAGCATGGGGAGACAAAAGTGGCTTATAAACAGTTATTCCTCATTCCTCAGTATTACTGAGCTCTGCATATTTCAGTATTTTGGCTTCAAAGTCTAATCCCACTTGCTTTTTTTTTAAGCACATCTCCAAATGCTTTTCAGCAGATGTAAAATTAGGTATTGTTTGTTTTGGTAGTGGGAGCCAGGAAGTTAGATCTAGGATTGCTGAACGACCTCATTACTCAATAGCATTAATCAAGACAATATGTCCTTCCGTGCCAACATTTTTTTCCAGGAAATAGCATTATCCATTTGCTGTCCTCCAAACCGAATGCTAGCCCTAATCAAAGCAGGGAGGCTCATTAGATGGCTTTTGTGAGTAATGAAGAGCCATTTGCAGTGGCTGCATCCTGTGAAATTCAATCAAGGAAATCCCATTGGGGGCCCAGATGAGCTGCGATGGAGCATCTCCTCAGTGAGCTCTGGGTCTCAGCCATCTCAGGCAGCATGTTACTGCTGTGGATGGGCACTGAACAGCCCACGGACTCCTCACAACGCTGTTGCATGGAGCCATGTTTTGCTTTTCAAAGCACTAACCAGGTAGATTTTGCAGGGAGAGGGCAGCGATAGCTTTTGATAGACTAGCTGAGAAGCAGCCCATCAGCTGCAGCCACTAGCTGGGTGTGTAAGACATCACCACAATCTTGTGTTGCAGAAGCAAATAACACACCTAGCCCTGAAAGGTGAAAGGTTCATGGTATCATGATAGCCCTGCCCTGGTTTGGCTTATCCATGTTGACCCAGAACTGTAGAAAGAAAAAGGATTATTGTGTACATAAGGTGGACAGTATTCAATGTGTAGACTTCCTGTTAAATGGGTTATTTTTTTCTGCTAGTTTTATTTTTTTCTTCCTCCCTACATTCTTTGGCTTGGATTTTTCTTGTAAGCTACACAATTTTGGATGCTTTATAGAAATAAAATGTCCTGTGTAGAAAATATTCTTTCTTGGATACATAAATTTTCTATATATGTTTTTCATTCAAGCTTCCTTGCTAAGGATTTTAAGTATTTCCTTTACTTAAAAGTAGATTTTTACTTAAAGGAATTCAGGAAGATCTGATAATTCTTCAGGAAAGACTTCTCAGCAGGGTTTTTTCATACAACCCTGGTAATAAAACTGGGGGATCTGAAACTGGTATAGAGAGATTCCAGCCTTTCTCCATGTTTTCTTTTTACTGATCAGATTGAAAAGACCTTGAAGGACTTTTGTTTTCTCAGGTTGAATTTCATTCCTCAGTGCTGCAGACGCCTCATTTTAGCAAGCTACTGTGCTTGCACCATGGCTTGGGTACAGCTGCTTCTCCTCTGGACGGTGCAATAGCCATAGCTTCTTATTTTCATTAAAGAAATGTACAATCATGTGTTGAGGTCTGCTGCCTTAAGGTACTGTTGATGGGGAAAAAAGATGAAGAATGAGCAAAGGAAAGATGTGTTTGGGAGATAAGCTGTAAAGACTTGCACAGGCTAATATGTGGTGCTGGGAAATGGCCTGTGTCTGCAAGTCTTAAATGAAATGAAGTAACTTACCCACAGATCACTTAGGAAGCATGGGGCAGAACTAGGAGTCAGATTCTCTTCCCTCTTACCTCCTAACTTGAGCTTTTAACTGCAAAGGCATCTTTTTTTCTTCATAGGTAGGATGAAATGTGTGTCTTGTTCATTAGTTGCAGCACTGAAAGGTTTTCAGGGCTGTGTCCTTTCCAGCAGAAGGACTTGGTCTGGGAAACTGCATTTATGTGTTGGACACCATGTAGGAAGCCTGCAGTGTTAGTACGTTGCTCAAAACTTGAAGAATCACTTGTGTGAAATAGAAGATGGACCAAACACGTCACCATCTCCTTTCATTACTGCAGTTTCAAGTTGTGCTCCTTTTATCAGCAGTCCAACCACTTAGTCTTCTGGAAAAGTACATCAAGAGGTTGTTCTTCCAGCCCTTGAGACCAAAATGTAACTCTAAGCTGAATGCCTTGGAGGTTTCTCACATGGTGTCCAACAACACGACTGCTTCCTCCCACCCACCTCAAAATTGAGACCATTTTCTCAAGACCTTTGGGAAGATGTCTTTAACCTTAATGGAGTTGTTGCTCTTGCTTGCTCCAGATTTGACAGGCATAGATGAGTTTTGGATTAGAATTGCTCATCTATGAGAATAAATTTATTCTGGTTGGGTTTGGTGACATAGTCCATACGATCAGAAAGTGAATCATATGTAATTGGTGGCCATCATCTGCTTGGGCAGAATGTGAAGCATGCGAAAACAACAGGAGGAATAGCATTTTAGGTAAAACAGTAACAAATTACTGAGTTTCTGGCTCACTATCAGCTTGGAAGCAAAGGATTTTAAATGCTTTGACTGTGTTGTCATATCAAGTTCAAGACCAGATATTTCTCTGGGGAGAAACATAGAATTTTGTTACTACTTTAGGGAGACTTTGAGCTGAGTGATACAAAGTGAACCTCACATCCCCTGCACTGAAGCATCCTTAGCAATGTTAAATATCAGAAATGGAGGTTTGATAACTTGGCGTGTGTTGTGTGCTGGTTTTCATCTTGCCAGATGAAGAGGAGTATATCACAGCTAGAAGCGAGGGCTTTCTTAGATGGAAATATTCGTAACTAAATGACACTAAATGACGCTAAATGCCTGGAAACATAATGTAGTCCAAACCACTAAAATGCATTAATGTTTTTGTCTTTCTAATATTTGGCTCTTTAAAAGGTCTTGTTCTAAAACTGAAGGTAATTCTGAGATGAATCAGTGAAGACAAAGAATTTGGAAGGTGTCATAAACTGCTTGTTTCCAAGAACATTTTAGTAAGTGCAGGAGCATTCAGGCGCTTGCATTAGGCACTGGAAGAGAGCTAGTGTAATTATTTCAGAAGATGGTTCTGAAAATGTCTCATTCCCCTGGAGAATCAGAATGTCAGGCAGCAACTTCTGAAGTTATGAACCTTTTTTAAAAATTAACAGAGCTGGATAATTTGCATCCCAGAGTTCTAAAAGACTTGGCTGAGGAACAGTTTTATAATATTGTTTTATAATAACTTCTGAAACACAGGGAAGGTTCCAAGAGGTAGGAGGAGAGAGAGGACATGACCTAGGCGTGTATGGCTTAGTCACCTCCATGTGAACCTTAAGTAAAGCACTTGAAACCTCATGAAGAGTTCACTTAGGAAGTGTTACTGTTAGTGATGCCAAATAATATGTATTTATGGATCCTGTCCTACTGCTTGATGCCTTTTTAAAATAGGACTGTAGATTTTTTTTATCTAGAAATTACTTGTATGGATATCATATACCTTGTAAGATATTTGACTTAGTACCTCATGATATTTGATTTAGAAACCTGAAATAATATTTAATACAATGATTGTAAGGGGAGGAGTACTTCTGGTGAGGTGCCACACCTCTCAACCCTGGAGTGTTCCACATTTTATCAGCAGCTTTTGAGAAAATGTATAGTTAGCACAGCAAAGGTTGACAAATTACAAAGATGGTATCTCCATGCATGGCTGTGAGCAATCTGGTCATCTGTGCTTTTACTTGGCCTCTTGTCAGTTTCCTTCTCTAGGGACAGGTGGAAGGGCTGTGCTCAAAATGCTGGTTGTCTCTGGTCATGACAGTATAGTATAGTGGGTGTAGTAGATTGTTCCATCAGGGCTAGAACTGCTGAAAACCTGTTTTCCTGGAATTATGTGCCATGTCCTTTCAATCCACCATGGCAATAATCTGAGCTCTCCCCATCATCCTACCATGTTTCTAAGACACAGAATTATATCAGAATCCTAGACTGGTTTGTGCTTGAAGGGACCTTAAAGCTCATCCAGTTCCAATCCCCCTGTCATGGGCAGGGGCACCTTCCACTAGACCAGGTTGCTCCAAGCCCTGTCCAACCTGGCCTTGAACACTGCCAGGGATGGGGCAGACACAGCTTCTGTGGGCAACCTGTGCCAGGGCCTCATGGTCCTCACAGCGAAGAATTTCTTCCTTACATCCAACCTATATCTACCCTCTTCTAGTTTTAAAGCCATTTCCCCTTGTCCTACTTCCCATGCTTGTCCATACCTGTAGTCCTGTCCCTTGTGTCCTAACTTCCTTTTCTCAGGAAAGCAGCTCACATCAAGTTCCTGAGTAGCCATAGGTTATATTTGCACTGAAAGAACTGCCAGCTCTTGGATGATTTCCCTGAGGAAGACACTGATAGATCAGAGAAGGTTTGTGGAAGAAAGAGCCTTCAAAGTGACTAAAGAGAGGAGAAAAGCCTCAAATGGCTTATTCTGACAGATGAGTGACTGGATCGATAAGGGAGGGTATTTAAAGGGATTTAATTATTATTATTCAGTCTAGCTATGAGAGACAATTGAAATTTATGACTGGAAGTTGAAGCTGACCCAAATTCACACTGGAGGCAGTGAAAAAGGTTTTAGATGAGACAACTTATTCAAGGTTATAGTGTGTTTATTTTCCATTACTGATAGAAAGGAAGAGTTGTAATTGGAAGAAGGCTCAATTCAGGAAGCTTTAAGAGTTGTTTTGAGCAGCGATAAGTGTTTCTTTTTGAGACACATGCTGATACAGAGTTTGCTGAAAATTGCCCCCGTAATTGCCTTTTCTAAATTAGGTGAAATGGAGACATTGGTCTCCTGCCATATGACTTCTTTTGTTGCTAATTGCAAGGGTGAGTTGACACGCGAAAGAGAGACAGACTTTTGTCTCAAGGTCACTAGATAGAGTCCAGCTCACGCTGAGCACTTGAAATGACACCAGCACAATGGTCTTCACTGAAAACCCACTGACCACCAAGTGCTGGCCATCGTGCCAGATGGCCACCAGAACTAGCAGGGCTTTCTTGACAAGCCAGTTGTCAAGGTGAAGAGGTGAGCATGAAGGCAGATGTATTTTTGTGCCATAGCCATGAACCAAATAATTTGTTGTGGAACAAATCTGAACAGGGGATTTAGAGGAAGCCTGTGTTTCTACAGACAAGGCTGTAGATCCTGTGTGAGTAAGTAGCTGCCAGCTTAGCACCTGTCTGCGGTGTGAAATCAACTCTGAAGCAAGAGTACTTCTACAGGTGGTAGTGGCTTTTGCCATTCCAGCATTGATACCTTAGGCTTGTACATGAAACTTAGTTTATAGGAACTGGGAGTGTCAAAGATAAGGCTTAGGTCTTTCCTGAATGAAGTATTATTTGAATGGTGGTATCTTTTTTATTATTATTTATTTACTTTCCATTCCAGGCCAGGAGGATCTAGGTACCTTTGAAGATCCAACCTTGAGGCTGTACTTAAAACTCCTCAAATGAGTGTCACTTAAGAGGCTAGAAAACGCAGCCACCTTTCACCAGCATTCCCATTACTCTGGCACAACTGCTAAACAATTTTATTGGCAGAAGCTTCCATTTTCCATGTATAGCTTTTCCATTAAGGACTCTCATTAGAACACACTGTGACATAGGTAAGGCCCGATTCATAGCACGTTAGCACTGACAAAAGCAAGGGCAGAAAAGGTAAAGAGCAGTAATTTCCTTTCTCCAAAGGTTTCATATAATGGTGTCTTCCAAACTCACTAGCAGTGACTTGAGCATAGTTGCTGCCCAAAGAGATCATGTAAGAAGTCAGCTCCTAATACCTTCTAGATGTGGTTACCCTTGCTGAAGGTGTCTGCCATAGGAATAGACTCACACCTTAGGTTGCCTGCTTAAGAATTAAGCTGTGACTGTAAAACTATCAGATGGGTTTACAGGTCTCTGTTATGTGTCTTATACTTGGAGCGGAAATTCAGGGCATACAAATTGGGCTTAATTATTGATAGCTAAAGCCCTAATTTAGATTAATGGTTTCCCTTCACATGTGAGTGCTGAACTGTAACAGAGATCTGAGCTCCAGCAGAGCATTAATAAGCACATGGAGTGCTGTCTGGTACAGCTTGGAGGAGCAATAAAGTTCACAGTGAGCAATGTGGATGGTTAATCACATCTTCCCTCTGTGCCCACTGTTGTGCTGGCCCTGCTTGGCCCATCCTGTGAGCTTTATGTGGTGCACAGGGCATGAATGCTCAACCATCCTGCACTGGAGCTGGCATCTGTCATGTGTAGTTCACTTCCAGGTACTGGGCACTGGAAGAACATCATTTCTTAACTGCATCCTGAAGTCTAGGGTGCTGTATGGTAGCAAACTCTGCGTAGGGCTGTCATAGCATTTGGCCATAGTGGTCTCAGTAGTGGTCTTAAAGCTAAAGGGAGCAAAACTTTGGGTAGTGTCTTACTTGACTGAGTAAGTGTGATGGGCTACAGGGTGTAACCACTGCTCCCAAATTAGCTGGAGGCCACTGGCAGCCTCTGGATCTTTAACAAGGACCACAACTTTAGAAAGCTGAATTTCCATCTAGATACTATATAAGTAATAAGCCATCCATTTTGCTATGCTAAAGGGGAACAATCTGCTTGTTTTGTCAGATTCCTCTTCATTCTGCTGGGACCGAAGGGCAAAGCAAAGTCCTATCATGAGATTGGCCGAGCCATCGCCACACTGATGTCAGATGAGGTAGGTGTCTTGACGTCGCCTATGAGAAATGGGTTCTTCCAGGTCTCAGTTCATTAGCTAATAGTGATGTCCTTTCCTCCAGCATGGTTGACAGGAATATGCACATAAAGCTGAAATATCCAAATGTCACCTCCTAATTCCATCTGTTCACGTAATTATTTAATTATTTCACCTGGGTTCGTGTTTTTGTAAAAGCATGACTGTAGGAAGGCTTTGTCCATTGTGTCCATTTTCCTGCTAGCAATCACTCTTTCCAATAGACTGTCATAGAATCATAGAATCAACTAGGTTGGGAAAGTCCAACCATCAAGTCCAACCGTTACCGACCTTTGAATTAATCTTGTCATGGTGTGCACATTCTGTCACATTCCATGGTCCTTGTAACACACAGCCACACTCCAGGTAATTACAGCAGAAATGATTACACCCAGGACTTACTACTGTGTGTTGCACTTCATCTCGGAGCACTTCTTCATTCAGGCAGTGCTTGTATTATCCACGAGCAGCTAGCAATTACTTGCTAATCATACACCACAATGAGATGACTGGGCTTTCAATATTCATTTACAGCTTTTTTATTCCAGTGTCCCTTGGGCTCTGTGCATCTGGGGCTGATTTGCATTATGTTTGTTTCTTGCTGTCTCCTTACGTTGTTTTTGCTTTCATGTGGTTCCCTTAATTACCACTTGCCTTGTCTCAGCTCTTCTGTTTTGTGTCATCTGAGCTGCTTGGAGCAGCGGTTTAGTTTCCATGGCCCAACAGTCCTCCTTGCTACCACTGGCTGTTCTTATTAAGTCTGTCACATTTGCTCATCTGCTTCCATTCCAAGCAGTCCAGAAGATACCTGTAAAATTCGGCATTAATGCTCTTTTTCCTCTCTTTTCTCATTCACTTTTCATCAATAATACGAGACCTTTCAGTAAAACCAGTCTGTGCTTTTTGTTATTATATTTGAGTAAATATTGTCGTAATTTCTGTATCATAGGTTTGGAAACTATACGTTTGTTTTTTTTTTGTAGGCTGAAGCAGGTATGGAAAGAGGATTGATATTTTTGTGCCTTGTAAAAGTGTCTTCTCAAAGTGTAATTGAAAATCCTCATTTAAATGAAAACTCTTATTTTGGGTAAAGCAAATGGATAATTGCTTTACTAATGTTTTGAAAGATGTTAGAAATGTATGTTTTGCTAAAAATTAGAAATAATATATGCCTGCAAGAAAAGAGTATCTATCATTAGACAACCAACCAAAGGAATGGGCTTTCCTGAGGTTCACACACCCTTGTGCCAAGTGTCCTGGTACTTTCTGCTAATGAATTTTTATGGAACAAAATTTGGTAGCTGCCTCTACAGTCTGGGCTTCAGAAAATGCAACCCTTTCTCTATGGGTCTGTCTTGTCCTTGCAGGTGTTCCATGACATTGCGTATAAAGCCAAGGACCGGCAGGACCTGATCGCTGGCATCGATGAGTTTCTGGATGAAGTCATTGTTCTCCCCCCTGGAGAATGGGATCCAGCCATTAGGATAGAGCCCCCCAAGTCTCTTCCTTCTTCAGATAAAAGGTAACAGCAGGAGACAGGCAGGTTTATCTCTGTGATGAGCTACAGCGTGCATCAGCTCTGAAAAGGTGATGGGAAGAGCTGCTGCTTTGGGTACACCAGGTTTATTGAACAACTTCAGTGACTGCATCTGCCTGTCTCTGTTTAGAATGTACTAGAAGTAATTTTGGGAGATATATGGGTGCTGAGACACTGGCACAGGTTGCCCAGAGTAGCTGTGGCTGCCCCATCCCTGGCAGTGTTCAAAGCCAGGCTGGATGGGTCTTTGAGCAATCTGGTCTAGTGGAAGGTGTGCCTGCCTGTGGCAGGGGGTTGGAACTGGATGAGCTTTAAGGCCCTTTCTAATCCACACCATTGGAGGATTCCATGATGATTTTCAGGTCTTTCTTAACAGCTGGAGGAAGGATGTCCTTGCAATTCTGTATCCTTCAAGGTAGGCATATAACATACATAGTGGTTATCCAGGCTCTTTGGGGTTCTGTTTGGTCTTTTTAACATGCTGTGCTCCACTCGCTGCTGGCAGGTCAGCCTTCTAGTATCCTTTGTACAACATGGCTCTGGAAAGGGCTGCGTAACACTTGTTCAGAAGAAGATTAGGGATCTTGGATTATGTTGGCTGGAGCCATCAAGCAATGCAGTGAGCCTCAGTTTGCCTTGCCTTCTTGCCTAGGAAAAACATGTACTCCGGTGGAGAAAACCTCCAGATGAATGGAGACACACCTCATGATGGAGGACATGGCGGCGGGGGCCATGGGGACTGCGAAGAGTTGCAACGAACTGGCAGGTCAGCAATGCTCTGCTTAATGGGATGTGCCTGGAGTCACCCATGTAAGGTGGCAGTGTTCCCTTTGCAGGACCATTTCTGCTCCCCTTCTGCTTTCCATCCTGACATACTGTTTGTATAGGTTGAGCTGTGACCCCAGAAGCCAGTTCCCAGCTTGAGGCTGCCTGAAGGGTACTGAATACTCAGCCTCAGCAACTTACAAAGCATCTTAAATAAGAACACAAAAAAAAAGAAAGAAGGCCAAGGCACGTGTTTGCTGTTGACATCCTGTGAAGTTAGGTGATCTGTGAGGGATGTAAACATGGCAGGTACAGCTACAGTTTCCATTTCAATTGCTGGAAGCGCTTTAGCCAAGAGCAGAGACATTCCCTTTTCCAGACATTCCTGTTGTAGTTGAATTGCAAAATGAAGGCTTTTATGGGGTAGAAATACAGAAGGTAACAGAGCCCAAGGCTTTACTCTGCTGTATTACTCTGCTTGTATGCCGTGTAGGAGTCCAGTAGGGTGGCCATAAAACAGTGTGCTCAGCATTTCAGGGTCACTACGCAAGTTTGTGTGGTGGCATTGTGCCCTCCCTCCCACTCTGTTTTCTTTTTAAGTTCTAGCAGAGTATCCAGATTCTAGGAGGAAAGTCTGAAAATCTGAAATTACACATTGGTGTGTACAAGGCAGTCGATGCATCCTATTTCTGGGTCAGAAAACAAACATTTCTCGTGCTGGCAGTGTCAGAGCCACATGGAGTTTATACAGGTTAAATACTGTCTTGTCTGTGATTCCACAGAAATAATACATCTGCAAGTGCAGCTCTCTTGTTCTTAAAGATGATTTCACTTGTGCTTTCACTTGTAGTTCTTTTTCTGGTTAACAGTTTGAAGCATTTTTCCACTTAGCAGATTGTTTGGCTTGCCCAACCATTGTGTTTGCGGGGTGGAGAAATTTAGGCAGGGATTTAGACTAGAGTTAATGTATTTTATTACATCAACCAGTATAGTTGGGGGAAAAAGATTACAAGCTTCCTGAACTGCAGACTTCAGTGGTCTGCTGCAGCAGAACTGGGGCTTGTGTTCTGAAATGTGTTTCTTTCCAGCTACATCAAGTTATTATCTTTACAGCATTACTTCAGTGATATCCCTGGACCATCACAGCTGCGATAAGTCTATTCTCTAATGTGATGATCTCACTCCTCTCAGATAATACTTCATTTCTGGCAAAGCTTCTGATGACTTATCTGGGTGACTTTCGCTGTGAAACATTTTGCACGAGTCACCTCTTGCTTGTCTTTTCAGATTCTGTGGTGGCTTGATCAAAGACATAAAGAGGAAAGCACCTTTCTTTGCCAGTGACTTCTACGATGCTTTAAACATTCAAGCCCTTTCAGCCATTCTTTTCATCTACCTGGCCACAGTGACCAACGCTATTACTTTTGGAGGATTGCTTGGTGATGCCACGGAGAACATGCAGGTTAGCAAGAGCTTTCAGAAGCAACAGATCTGTCGTTTGCCTCTTGCCATTTACAGAGGGGTGTGTGGCATTGACCAGGCTTAAATTCTGGATACAATTAATAGAGGTATCCTGTGTTTCCACTGAAATTAGCTTGCTTTCCCTGCTGCTGGACAGCTGCCCTTTGGAAAATCATAACTTAAATGGTGTTTGAAAAATGGCCAGGCTGCAGAGAAGGTCCTTGCTCCTTCTACATAGAGAAGTTCCTCTGATCTGCTGTCTGTGTTTGTGTCTCAGTTGTATTGTTTCAGTCCAGTTAATATTACTAAGTCTGATTCAGACTTTCCATGTCGACAGAGAGAGCACTGCCTCCTCTGCGTGACTCTTACAGTCCCTGGACTTCTGCCTCTGGTGAAAAGGAAATCCTAAGATTCATAGGAAAGTGAGTAAATCAGGAGATGGGATCAGGAGAAAAAGGCAAGGTCTTTAGAAAGATGAATTTCGTAATAATCATAGAATAGTTAGGGTTGGAAAGGACCTTATGATCATCTAGTTCCAACACCCCTGCCATGGGCAGGAGATTAGATCCTGAAAACCATATTATATATCCAGAGTCAGGCTGGATCAGTAGTGAAGACAGAAGTAGGGGCTTTAAAGATGGCTCAGGGAAAGTCTGAAGGAAAGGGATTCTATATTAATACTGCTGAACGTCTTTCTCATTTGACTGGAGCAGAATTATGCTCTAGAAGTGTCTGTGGCTTTTTGAAGTAGAAGAAAGCATAGGAAGTTGTACGTAAATATGTTCAGTGCAGTCACCTTGAATCTCCTAACAATAATTAAGCTCATAATGACAAAGACTGAATTATTAATTTACACAGGTTTAGTTAACCCAAATGTAGAAAAGGAGGGCACCTATCCAGAGTTCTACACTTCCCTATGATAATGTCATTCATTTGTCAAATGTGACAATCTCATTTCACTAAAGTGTACCCGAGACTGTGAGCTGCACAGCAGGGAGACCCAATGGAGCAGGAGCGGGAAAGACAGGAGGAAGAGAAAACACAGGTTGGTCTGTAGTTTTCTCTGCAGTAGGTAAAACCTGATGTGAGTTTTCCTGTTGCTTGGAGAAATGAAAGTCTCTGGAAAGACACAAGCTGCAGGAACAACCTATTTTGAGCTCAGTGATTTATTCTGTGTGTTGAAAAGGGAAGCCACTGGTGCTCTGCAGTTAGGAACCCCACTTCGGTAACAGGGAGGCTCTGCAGCACATATAAACACAGCATAGCCATTAATGACCTGAACTCCAGGAGCCACAGAAGGAACCAGCACCCATATCCCATCCAAGGCTTTGTCCCTTGCTTCACAGGGGTTTGTGCTCAGGGAGGAGGGAATTGGGGGTGTAGCTGGAGAGAAGCCCTGACAGCATAAAGCTAGTTTGTAATTGAGCTTCAGTCCACAAAAGTGAAGCAAAGTGCATCACTCAGTGCATCACTGAGCTGCTAGAAAAAAACAGATTTCACCTTTCAGTTTATAACATAGCCACACCTCTGTGCAGGAAAACATTTTCTATGATTTTCTAATTTGTGCACTTCAGCATTTACTTGCTTCTTACATACAACAACCAGTTGAATTTACTGGTGTTTATTTATGTACTGATTTAAGATTGAAGTGCCAGCAGTTTGTCTCAACATTCACTGGTGGATCAAGGGTTTAGGCACAACTAGCTTTTCTTTTGCCACCTCCATTCAATAATCCCTATTCAACATCCTTGTGTGTAGAGGCATCAGGTCTCTTGGCTGCTGTAGGAGCCTTGAAGGCTTTTACCATAGAATCAGAGAATCATAGAATGGTTTGGGTTGGGAGCTTAAAGCTCATCCAGTTCCAACCTACTAACAAGGGCAGGGACACCTTCTCCTAGACCAGGTTTTTCCAAGCCCCATCCAACCTGGCCTTGAACACTGCCAGGGATGGGGCAGCCACAGCTTCTCTGGGCAACCTTTTTGACTGCAAGTTTTCAATAGAAGCTCAAAATCATGTGTTCTTTGTGCTCAGATGTCTCTGTATCATCAGAGCCAGAGCGAAGCGTCCAAGGGCGACCAGTTCAAATTGTTCCTCCAGGGAGCTGCTTAGTGGGATAGGAGTCCAGGTCCATGTCATGTGTTGTTCAAACTATTGTGGTTCCTGCAGTGGGAAAGTAGTTTTCTTTAAGACATCTCAGAGCATGAGCTGCACCAAATCTTTGTGCTCAGAAATGCAAACAAGGGTTATTCCAGCTTCTACAACTGAGGAGCAGCACCTGGAAGTTTTCCCCTGGGCACTGTGTCCTCATAGAAAGCAGTATTTTTGGGACTACCAAAGTTCATGCTTCTTGTTTCTTGTAAACAATTATGTGACTGCTGCTAGGTCAGGCTCTAAAAATCGCCTGTCCTGCGCTGCCTGCCCCTGAGAGCCTGACATGGCCAACGTTTCTTTCAAAGCTCGCTTCAGAGTTTTATGTTTCTGAGAAAAGACACTATTCTTAGCTACAGACACGTGGAAGAATGCAGGGAAAAGAGATTCCAGATGCGCTGGCCGCGAGGGCCCTCTCCATGAGTAATGCGGGAGGAGCGAAAGGGATCAGCTGTGCGAATGCCATTCCTTGTCTCATCCTCACAAGTCCCCCAAAGGAAGCAGGCAGAGGCTTATAGGCTGCTGTCCCTGTCCCTGTGTCCTTGTATGAAGGCTGCAGAGCATCACAGTGAGATTTCCCTTCACTGGGCCCTGCAAGAACCAGGGCTGTTCATGATGGGATCACCAGTAGCACTTAATAGAAAGGACCAAGGCGAGGTGATTTCTGTCCACTGTACAGCAGCTTGTCTAGATTGATGAGAGACTGAGCATGTGTCAGGAGCAGGCAGCCAGGCATCTTTTAAACTTCCCTTACCATTTGTTTCTTTGCACAGCTGTCATGCTGCCGCTCTAATTACCCAGCAATAACAGTGCTTGACCACTGGTATGTTGAGATGCTTGTGGCCAGAAAAATAGTTCATGATTGCTTTAGAGAAAGTTCTGCTAGTAACTCAGTAGAAAAAAAAAACCTTCTGCTCTATATAGTAACATATGTAGAGCAGAAGGTTTGACATATGACAGTGTCAATAGAAGGCTCAGGGGAGACCTTAGAGCAGCTTACAATACCTAAAGGAGCCAACAAGAAATCTGGAGAAGTGCTTTGGACAAGGGCCTGTAGGGACAAGAGGAAATGGCTTTAAACTGCCAGAGGGGAGATTTAGATTAGACATTAGGGAGAACCTCTTACCTGTGAGGGACGTGAGGTGCTGGCAAAGGTTGCCCATAGGAGCTTTGGCTGCCCCTTCCCTGGCAGTGTTCAAGTCCAGGTTGGATGGGGCTTGGAGCAACGTGGTCTAGTGGAAGGTGTCCCTGCCCATGGCAAGGGGTTGGAATTGGATAAGCTTTAGGTTCCTTCCAATGTAAACCAGTCTGGGATCCTATGAACATACTTTCCTCAGTGTAAACACTAACTTGGCTCTTTCAAAGAAGAGAGACACAAAACTTACTTTAACTTCTTCACATTGCCACCGATAAGTCAGACAAACTGCAACCCCAGCCCTACAGTTTGTCACAGATGGAAAGAAGGATCTGTGCATGCTGTTAATTCCTGGTTGCTAAGCATGTGCAGTGTTAATGAGGCTGCTGATACGGACACAGCTGCAATGGAGCACATGAGCCTGTGCTTAAATTTGCCCCTGGTTGTTGGGTGAGTATTCCTGGAGAGGGTGATGCTCATAGCTGCACGTCTTACTCAGTAGAAGATAATGCTGTGGTTGGTCCTTTAAAGCTCAGTCAAGTATAAAGGGATTAGTTTCCGTAAGAGCAAACAAGGTAAGGTCCTGTGAGTTCTGTCACTTCTGTAGGATGTACCCTTAGTCAGTAATCGTATTTTATTGCCATTTATATTTTATCCACATTTTGCATTTTATAAGTAGATAATTCCCAGCTCTAGTTGGACATGAAAATGCAACAATGCATCAAACATGCTCTTTTATCCTTCTCAGGTGAAGCTGGTTTGCCACACATGCCAAAGGTAATTGTAGAGCCTGTTAAATATGGATTTTATTTGTTGCTGGTGACATCTGATGATCCTTGGTCTCAACATGTGGCTGCTGGATGAAGTAGCCTTGTTTGGTTTGTGTCTCACTTATTAAAACAGTTGCTTGAAAGAGGAGCATCTTATTTGTGTGCTCAATTGGAGAAGGGAAAAACCATGCTCTGATTTTCTGGAGGACATCATTGCTGTCCTCTAGCCACATCTCTGTTGGAAGAGCCCTACCAACATGTATCTTTACTATCAAAAATGTGGGAGATGTTCAAGGAGTTGTCAAATCCTTGAAGTGATCTTCAGAAACACTCTCCTCCCCTCGTCAGATGTAAAACATGATACAGCATTATCAAACTGGGCCTCAGAAATAACCAGGGAGGTTGCTGATTATCATAAGTAGCTATGAATTGTGTGGGATGAACACATCAGTGTGCACAGCTGCAAGAGATGGTCTTCTTTTTGACTTAGCCATATCAGCATCGTACAGCGCACCACCAGTCACTGATACAACTACGCATTTTCTTGCAGCAGAGCTAATAGAAGGGGTTATTCAGTGGAACTCACCTCTCTCCTGTGTCTATTGTAGGGTGTGTTGGAGAGTTTCCTGGGCACAGCAGTCGCCGGTGCAATATTTTGCCTTTTTGCTGGTCAGCCACTCACAATTCTGAGCAGCACAGGACCTGTCCTTGTCTTCGAACGGCTCCTCTTTAATTTCAGCAAGTAAGTACAAGGGAGGAGGGGAGGAATGTCTCACACTGATGAAGTACTAGCCAGGGAATGAGATGGCTCGCGGTGGGGAAGGAGGGGATTTAGGGCATGAAATGAAACATCTCTTTGTTCCGTGTGGAGCTTGCAGTGCGATCACATCAGGGATTTTCACAGGCACGCATGTCCCCGTGTGCTGCCAGCAGGTGAGTGTATATCTGCTCAGAGCCTCTTGGAAATACTTGGCCAGGCCTGTCCTCCAGGAGAAGTTTGCAGCAGTTACAGTCAGTGGGCTGCTGCTCCCCAGTTGATGCAGGTGTATTTCCCATAGGAGCAAAGAAAGAAATCCAGCTTTTGATTTCACTAGCAATTTGTCCTTAAATCGCTACTCATTTGGAGTAATCACTATTATTTACATAAACAGAAGCACCTATGATAGAAACAGCTCTGTTTGTTCCCAGATCTCCTCAGTGGAGCTTTGCTGCATTAAATGCTTTTGTTTTGGGTTTTTTTTTTCCCTTTCAACTGTAAAAACTTTAAGCATAGAATCATAGAATAGTTTGCATTGGAAGGAACCTTTAAAGGTCATCTAGTCCAATTCTCTTGCAGTGAGCAGGAACATCTGCAACTAGATCAGGTTGCCTAGAAGCACATGCAACCTGGCCTTAAATGTCTCCAGGGATGGTTCATCCACCACCTCTCTGGGTAACCTGTGCCAATATTTTACCACTGTCATTGTAAAGAATTTTTTCCTCACATCCAGCCTGAATCTCCTCTCCTTTAGTTCAAAACCATCACCTTTTGTCCTATCCCTGCAGGCCTTGCTAAAAATTCTTCCCCCACCTTTCTCTTGGGCCCCTTTTAAGAACTCAGAGGCCACAGTAAGGTCTCCCTGGAGTCTTCTCCAGGCTGAACAAGCCCAGCTCTCTCAGCCATTCCTCATTGGAGAGGTGCTCCATTCCTCTGATCATTTTTGTGGCCCTTCTCTGGACTGTCTCCAACAGGTCCATGTTTTTCCTGTACTGAGGACTCCAGAGCTGAGCATAGAGAGGTTCTGCTTCATCCACACCATGTTAAGTTTGGTGCAGTGATGATAGCTGACACCCAGAGCCCATTTCATTAGGTGTTCTCACTGACTATTTTATGTGTAGGACTACCGATCCTTTGGGTGGTGTTCTGCAAGGAGACCATTTTAGGTTATACAGAAAACACCACAAATCACATGTAGCCCTCCCTTCCCCCTATCAGGGAGCATTCACAGCATTGCAAGCTGTGAAGGACTAGTGTTTCAGTACACAAAACCAAGAGCTTTTGGAGTTTAGGCATTACTAAGCTTTCTTTCAAAAGCAGTCGACTGTGATGTGGAACAGCTCTTTGGGCATTGGTGGTTATTTTTAGAAAAGGTCTATTGAATTATTAAGCTGAACAAGGCTGCAGGTTGCAGTAAGGCAGGAGACATGGTGTGTGTTGGGCTGTCGTATCTCCTTCCTCATTATGTTTAATCTTGTGGGTAGTTACTCAGAAATAATTGAGAGCATATATTCATGTCTTTCCTGTGAATACATGTTGGAGAAGCCTTCTGAGGAGCAGAGCTTCTGCTAAGGCTAATGATGCACTTACATGTTATCCCACGTGCACAATTCTACACTCTTGGAGTATAGACGATTTCGTTCGGTTACTTAACTCACTTGAGTCCAGAGGAGGCCACGGAGATGCTCTGAGAGCTGAAGCACTCTGCTATGGAGACAGGCTGAGAGAGCTGGGCTGTTCAGCCTGGAGAAGAGAAGGCCTTAAGGGAGACCTTAGAGCACTGTCCAGTGCCTAAAGGGGCCAACAAGAAATCTTGAGAGGAGCTTTTGACAAGGGCAGGAAGTGACAGAACAAAGAGGAATGGCTTTAAACTGACAGAGGGGAGTTTGAGATTGGATATTAGGAAATTAGACTGTTCCAGGGAGGGAAACTGAAATCTCCACAGCAGAGGAAGAGGGAGGCATCTTTCTTTTCTTTTTTCAACTGGAATAAATGAGTAAAAGTAGCAATAGACATGCTATAGCTGTTTGCATCTGGTGGGCAGGTCAGAGCCCAGGTGCTGCACGTGGGAGGAAAAAAGCAAGATGGAAAAACACTTTTTATGGTTTTGAGAGAGAGAAGGTGGTTATTTTTAACCCAAGGAGGAGGTGGCTATAAAAGCTATTGTCCTAACAACCTGCTGGAGCAGATTGGCAGGATTTTTCAAGGGAGCCTTTCTCACAAGGAAGCTGGAATCAAGCACTGTGTTTTTTCAATAATGCATTTGTGGTTGTTCATATTCACAGCATGCTGTTCCCTGCTGGGAGCAAAATTAGAAAGATTTCCCATCTACTGATTCATTTTAAGTGTGACTCTGTCAGTGTGTGTGTGCATGGAGAGATAGCTGAAAAAGCCTCATGTCTACAGCCCTGCATCCTGCTTGCTTGGGTGGGTTGATGCTCCAGGACACCCTGGCTCAGCTCACACCCTGATTAGTGAGCTCTGCTCCCATGCAGAGGCTTTCCAGTCTGGAATGAGACTGGGTTTTCAAGCTGGAAGCAGTGGGATGCAAGGCTCTGGGCTCCCAGGTTAGCAGGACCCCAGCCCTTCTGCCTTCCAGCCACAGAAGGCTGGAAAATTTCTCCTTGAGACCTCAGAAATAAAATTAGTCACAGCAAAAGTACTTAGCTTGTTGTATTATCATAGAATCCCAGGCTGGTTAGGGTTGGAAGGGACCTTAAATCTCATGCAGTTCCAATCCCATGCCATGGGCAGGGACACCTTCCACTGGACCAGGTTGCTCTAAGCCCTGTCCAACCTGATCTGCAACCCTGCCAGGGTTGGGGCATCCCTGGATGGACTGTATGTAGAATATGTATTGTGCATATAGGATGTTGAAGTGCTGCAGGACTTTGAGGGTTAAAAAGATAATAAAATAGGTTAAAACCTTTTGAAGCTCTTCAGTGGTGTGCAGTCAGGATGCCATCTGGGCTTCGGCCAGCTGCCTTCTCCACACTTGGTCTCCACACTCCTGCTGTCATTGGCACTGACTGGATATTTCAGAGATACAGGGGTCTTTGGGGATATTTTCTGTTCTCTTTTTCTAAATCGTCCCTTTGCTTCTTCCTTGTTCGTTACCCCTCTGTCAGGTCAGTCTCTCAGTATGAGAAGGCTGCAGCCCTCCCCAGTACCTTATCTACAATAAGGAGAAAGCCTTGCAGAGGCTTGGGTTGAATGCAAATACTCAACCCTGATTCTGGCTTCCAGGGAAGACCCTGGGGCTGGGGCTGCTGGCCCCACTGCCTCCTGTTGCTAACCCAGAGCAGGCAGTAACCTCCCTGGCGGGGCCTTTTCTGCTCTGGTGTTGTGCTTTTTGAATTTGTTATGTGCTGAAAGCCTGCCTTTGGACTCCGCACCATCAGGGTATAGCAAACTGGGACAAACACACTTCCCAGAAGGAATGATGTGCTTCTCTCCATCATTCCTCTGGCACCAGGGTTTGTTATCTTCTGCTTTGTGCTTCTTGATGTCCTCCTGCTGGTGTTTTGATTTCTTTTGATTAGTGCAAGGGCCTGAGAGATGAAAACGCAGGCTCCTGACTGTGAAGCTTGGCAGGAGATTGCTTTTCTGAAGGAGATGCGTAAACTGTGGTTTTGTCTTCAGCTGGTGGAAGGCTGTCAGCATTGAGCTGCTCTTGGATATTGTGGGGCCTTTGCAGCTCTGTGAGTGTTTGCCAAGGGAGGATTTTTATTGGGAAGCCTAGGAAGAGGTTGAATTCACTGGTAACATTCATTAGTGGAAGCACAAGCAAGACTTAACCACTTCTGCATGCTTTTCTGCCACCTTGGCTATTAAATTGCACCGCATACATTTATGGAGTTGGTTGGCTGAAAAGGGAGAGCTTAGCTCTTGGAACACTCCTGTTGAGTCTAAATAAGCACAGGTCCCAAAGGCTGTGGTTCACCACTTCTTGCTGGGAAGTCACAATCCTGCATGGATTTCTCTAACCCTGACGTTTTCCCTTTGTGCCCACCCCTGTCTTGTTGCAGAGACAATGATTTTGACTACCTGGAGTTTCGCCTCTGGATCGGCCTTTGGTCAGCCTTCCTGTGTCTCATCCTCGTCGCCACTGATGCCAGCTTCCTGGTCAAGTACTTCACCCGCTTCACTGAAGAAGGTTTCTCCTCCCTGATTAGCTTCATCTTTATTTACGATGCTTTCAAGAAGATGATCAAGCTGGCAGATCATTACCCCATCAACTCTGAGTTCAAGGTGGACTATATCACACATTACTCTTGTGCCTGTGAACCATTAGATCCAGGTAAGATAATGTTTAATTAGCTCTCCACTTTGCAGATAGGAAATAGCATTTGCTTTCTTTTTCTATTGTGCTGCAGTCCAGATAATAAACAGGTAGATTCTTCTTTATCAGTTGTGTTCAGATATCCTATCTTGGCCTTATTTTGAAGCTGAGAGCTGAATTACGTGCCAATTGGAATGTCATTATAACCAGCCTTCCTGAGATTCCTGAGGTATAACCAGCCTTCCTTGGACTCCTCATGTGACCATCCTCACCAGTGGAGAAGCTGCCTCTCTACCCCTGTCTCAGTGGCTGTAAATCCTGAATGGCATTCCTGTGTGAAGAGGCAGAGGTGGTGGCCAGGTCACTTCCACGCTGCTCAGGTCACCCCTGGTATCTGCTATGCCATTTTGGCAAGAGCAGGAGCAGGATTCATTACCCAAACAGGTACCACCTCCTGACTGCATGTAAGAGTGGAAAAGCACAAACATATCCTCACTAGAGTGAAGGGGAAGTCTATCTAACAGTTCAGCCTATCACTAGTGTGGGCTGCAAGGCGGGTATAGCCAGCATATGTATAGATCTGGCCACACAACCAGGAACAAACGGTTACACAACCCAAATACAAACACAAGTATGCTGGCTCACACTATTAGGGAAGCTGCAGCCACTCCTAGGATCCTTCAAACAATGAGGGGTGAGTAAGAAACTTGGTTTATGCTCAAAGTCAACTTCAGGTTATCTCAATATACCTGTTAAACAGGAAATGATCCTGGTTGCTGTGCACTGCCTCTGTGCAAAAGGTGTTGGGAACTGATTCCCAAGGAGCTATGTGCTTACGTTTGTAGGCTCTCTGCCAGCATTTGGATTTGGATCTAGTTCTGCTTCCGTGTGAATGACAGGGTGGTTTATTTTTTGGAGTTAGGACAATGGGGAATGGTCAATGCCAAATTGAAGGTCTCCACTTGCCATCTAAACACCAGTGTTTAAACCACATCACTAGGTTCTCTGGCCGTTCTCATCCCTTGCTTGGTGGCACGTCATTCCACAGTGGATCTGATACACAGAAGCAAAGAAATTTCCACAGGAACAAGTGCCCTGTTAAATAGCTGCTAGCACATCACTCATGACACTAACTGTTTGGCTTTTCACAGATCTGAAATACACTGATATATGTGTGTGTATAGCTGTGGTCTTGCAGGAGCAGATTTTCTAAGCAGGTACCAAGAGAACCTTGAGAACATCAGTTATCCTATGTGCTAACATTGCATCCCTGAAAATTTGCAAGCTTGCGTGCATCAGGAAATGGAATAACAATGCAAATGGCATAAAAATGCTCAGCCAAAAATCCATGCTGTTAGCAAAAGGGGCTGCCTTGTTTTAGGAAACAAAGTGTAGTGCAGTAGCAGAACTTTCTTTCCAGTGATACCCTTGTAGTACAGATAATGCCTGCTGCTGCTGAGGTATTGTAGGCATTGAGAAGCTGTCATGGGTTGTGATGGAACTAGGGATGAGATTTCTTTACTGTTTTCCCCAATGCCAGTGCAGGTAAAACTTCATGGATCTTTGTCATGCCAGAGATGAGGCTAACTCTTCTTCCCTCATACTCCAGTTCAGGCCTTTCACAGTTAGTTTTAATTGCCATGTCATCAAGATTTGGCTCCAGAGTTTTGGCATCAGCCCTTGCAAAACCTAAATAACACATGAGGATGTAATTGACAAGCCTATTTTCAGGAAGGACTGCTTTTCTAAATGAAATTTCAAATAAATGACTTCTAATCCCAGAAAGACAAAAGGAAAACATTTATTGCCACAATGAATGCTGCCCCTTTTTTTTTACAGAAATGATCTTCATCTTCTTGGTTTCGATTACTCTTTGTCTTTTTTAACTTGAAAAATGTGTGTGCTGGATTCTGAAATGCATTTTGCTCTTCAGGATGTCTTTGGGGTTGTGCATTAATTTTAAATTAATAATTATAGGAGTGTTCTGTGGATACTTATTTTAATCCATAAATCAGTAGAAAAATATTGCAAGGCCATGAAATATTACACTGTCTGGTTTTCTGTAATTTTTTCTACAATGAACTCCAAGATAAACAGGAGTTAGGTTTGAAATATGTTTCACTTAGCTTTTACTTTCCGTTTTTTAAGTGATTGGTGATTGAACATGACTCTGAAACAATACTTTTGACTCACTTGAGCAAAGACATTGCCAGCAGTTTGGTGGAGTTAACAAATGATTCAGTGGCTGGAATTCGCTTTCCTTCCTCACTGTTTCAGCACCATACTCATGGTATTCCTCTTTCCGTCCTCTCTTGCAGTTAATAGCTCATTATTTAACAAGACAACGGTGCCGTCAGCCGATGAGCTGTTCTCTTCTGACATGGTAAGTGCCCTTCCAAGGGCTGAGATGATACAGCCTTTGAAGCCTCTATGGATTTATTCGTGTAAAGTTATTCTAAAATCCTCTTTCTTTCTGTTGTCGTGGTTCCCAGGACTGTGATTTCTTTCATTGGGGTTTTCAGGCAGAAAAGGAGATGACGTGATTCTAAAACTCCCCAGAGTGTTAGAGTGACAGAATTTTGTAGGTGCCTGAAAATAGTTTAGTTTTTTCTTGCTGTTAGCATATATGTTCTCTGCAGTCCCACTCTCCCGTAGAGCTCACTGCTCTATGCACATTTATTTTCTTGGCCTCTTGTGCATTTAGGTTTTTTCTATCGTCATTCCTGCACTGATGTGATTGAATTATGCAGGGCAGGGAGGGGAAAAGCCCCTTCTTTAGGCTTTGCTTCACAAGCACCAAGAAGATGATCATCTAACATGTCCTGTGCAGCTATGGGTTCCACAATGAGAGCTGAAATCCAAATTGTAACATCTGGCTGGCCATCACACTCAGTCATCATGAGTAAGGACATATTCAAATGAGAATGGAAGCAATTAAAGCAAATTCAGATGCAGGTTCTTATTTGGCAAGACCATGGGAAAGAGACCCTCAGCTCTTGCTGAAGTCAAGGGAAACAGTTGTATTTGGTGGTGAGCTGGTGCTCTGAGCAGGTTTTAGTGGCTTGGCAGAGCACTGTGCTGCCTCGAAGCCCGGGGGAAGGTGGCTGGATGTGCTGGGACCAGATAGCAGAGAGGGAAGTTCAACCTCGGCATCATTCTGACTGCTTGTTTGTAAACCACATGGAATTTTTGGAGCTCCAGCTGTGTGGAAGAGCAGTGCTTCCTTTGATTTTTACAGCCTGTTCACAGCCTACCACCCCAAGCGACATTCAAGCAAACAAAACCTCTGTACTTGGTGGAGGATGGTGCTTTGCTGCAGCTTAACCCCCTCTTGAACAGCTCTTAATGCATGCAGTCATAAAATTAGAGAACACCTTAAATACATTGCAGATCCCCTTTTAGTCAGATGTCAGCAGTAAAATGGTCGCACAGTCCTGAGGTTTGCTTGGACTTAACATTGAAAGGGCAAGGAGGAAGATTTTCTCCTGTGGAAACAGTGTTGGTCTTGATCTGAGAGAAGTGGGTTTGGGTTTAGTGTTGTTCAGGTGGTCTTAGGCCACTCCAGCTTCAGTGTGAGGGTTCCAACTGAAGAAAATGCCCAGCATGGCTGGCAGACCACAGTAGAGGTCAAAAGATCTCTGTCTTTTTTCCAAGGCTCAGACTGTCCTCTCTTACTGGGTAATATCATCCCCTGTCCAGGTTAAAATCTATTCTGTCTGTGCAGCGATTTTTAACCTCTGCAGTGTGCCTCCCTTTTCCTCCAAGTATCTTTCCCTATGATCTGTCCCCATTCCTGTCTTCACATGAGCAGCTCATGCACAGCTTTTTGGAAACCCTCTCTTTTTCTCTCCAGTACAATACCACCATTGACTGGTCATCTCTGACAATGAAGGAGTGCTTGAAATATGGAGGACAACTTGTGGGCAACAACTGTGAATATGTCCCTGACATCACCCTCATGTCTTTCATCCTCTTTTTTGGCACTTACACCTGCTCCATGGCCCTGAAGAAATTCAAGACCAGCCGCTATTTTCCAACTACTGTAAGTATCTCAGCCTGGCAGTCTTGTTTCTTTTACTGTTTCAGAGTGCAAATGTCAGCCTCCCTTTTGGTATCGGTGTCACACACACATAGGGAGGAATGCTTTGTGGGGAAGCCAGTTTGCATGGATTGAGGTGAAAACCAAGGACTGTCTGGGATTGTTCAGCTGTCATTCAGTGTCTCTGGAGGACACATGTAAGGCAGCAGAAGAGCCAAAATGAGCCCTAATGTGTCATGGGGCAGTGATTTTAAATGTGCTGAGATATATCATGATATATCAGCTTATCAGCCTTCGGAAATCAGAAGAGATGTTCAGGTACATATACTTTCATCTGGCCGTTTTCAGTGTCAGGTACACAGTATAATGGGATGTACTGACCCTGAGGTGAGTTGTGTGGTTGTTCTGTAGAAATCAAACAACCAAAAGGGATTATTAATCCTTATGTCAGAAGTCTCCCTGCTTATAGCACCAGGGAGTATTTGGGGAGGACAAAAGAAGACTTTTGCTTTGTCACTGACTAAGAGCAGCTAAGCTTTGATGTTATCACATAACGTTTAAAATACTCAAAATGAAGGCAAAACTGTTGAACTCAGCTACAGTCCTGCTCTACCACTTATGGTAGGCACCCAAAGCAGCAATTCCCTTTCTTTGAGGATCAGATGCAAAATAAGGATGACCTGAAAAACCTCTGCATGGATTTAAACAAGATTTTTCTCAGACTTAAACCAGCTTACACACACCTCAGGGATCCACTTGTTTTGTCACCAGGACACATGTGCAAGCTGGCAGTTTCCATGCATACCAAAACTATGTTTCATTCTGAGGCACCTTCCCCTTCCCCCCCCCGCCCCCCCATTTTTGGCATTCTGACACACAGGGATTTATCCTGCATGGATGTTTACTGTTCTGCTGTGTTACGATTGAACCTCTATTATTTTTAATAAAAAGGAAACAAATTCCATTCAGGCTGGAATGCAGCTCAATTTATCTGTAACCATGTGAAACCCAGGAAACCTGCAAGGAACAAGAGTTCTGAAAAGACCATGCAGTTACAGACCAGCACAGTGGGTCCTGCCCAGTTAAATTTCAGGGTGTGACCAGTGCCAGCTTTAAGTTGTAATATTCCAGTGCCTTCGGGACTGTTGTTTTCTTAGGGCATGTTGAGGAGTCAGCTGAGAAGCCCAGTTTGTTTTCCTGTCTTGTTTAGGTTGGTTGATTGTTTGAACTTAGAGAGCAATGTGATCTCTGCCAGTCCTATAGAATGTCATTTGTCATGGAAGTTTGGGTCTTTCCATCTTCTAGAGGGAAGTTTGTGACTGTTTCCACTGTCTGGTGTAAAACACCATTTCTTCCCTTTTTTTTTTAATCTGCGTCACAAAGTCAGTCATATTAAAATCATGGTGTCTGGGGACATCGGTATTTTTTGCTGAAGCCACACGCCTTAGGAATCCTGCGATAACATAAGAAGCTCAACACGTGTCAAAGAAGCAGTCTCTGTCCCTGCATAGAAAAACATGGCTATGTGGATCCTAAAGACGCAGAGGTCAGAAGGCAAGCAGGAAACAGTATTTTATGTGTCTAAAAAAGGATGTTAGACAAATATTCAATACCTGTTAATACTGGAAGCTGATCCTAAAGAATCTGCAGGAACCGACGTAGATGAGTTAGGTCTCCGTACCAATGGTTGTTGGCCACTGTCAGATGAACATCAGTGAGACTGCCTTGAAGAATTTGTGTAGTAGTTTCTTAGAAAAGCAGTTTTCTTTTTCCTTAGGCTTGTTTTCATTCTTCCATTTAGGCTTAATTATTTGGCTTTCAGACAACGCAATGAAGTATCAAGGCACATTTTGGCAAATGGCATCAGGCACAACAATGTACACCTTTTTTTCTAGAAAAGAAGAAACTATGAGCTTTTATTGCCACCAAACACAAGCCTGGAGCATCACATAGAAACTAAACCATAGAATCATAGAATGGTTTGGGTTGGAAAGGACATTAAGATCATCTTATTCCAACCCCCTGCCATTGGCAGGAACACCTCACACTATGCCCTGTTGCCTAAGGCTGTGTCTGGCCCGTCCTTGAACACTGCCAGGGATGGAGCATTTACCACTTCTTTGGGCAAGCTGTTCTGGTGCCTCACCACTGTCACAGTAAAGAATTTCTTCCTTGTATCTAACCTGAACTTCCTCTGTTTAAGTTTGAACCCACTGGGTCTTTCCATCTTCTAGAGGGAAGTTTCCATTGTCTGGTGTAAAATACCATTTCTTCCCTTTCCCTCTTTTCCCTTCTCCTATCGCTTCAGCCCCTGATAAAGAGTCCCTCCTCAGCATCCCTATAGACCCCCTTCAGATACTGGAAGGCTGCTGTGAGGTCTCCAAGCAGCTTCTCTTCTCCAGGCTGAACAACCCCAACTTTCTCAGCCTATCTTCATACGGGAGGTGCTCCAGTCCCCTGATCATTCTCGTGGCCCTCCTCTGGACTTGCTCCGACAATTCCATGTCCTTTTTTATGTTGAGGACACCAGAACTGCACACAGTGCTCCAAGTGGGGTCTCATGAGAACAGAGTGGAGGGGCAGGACGTCTTTCATGGTACTAACTACTGTTGTTATGATATCAACTTCTGTTCCAGGCCCGGAAGCTCATCAGTGACTTTGCCATTATCTTGTCCATTTTGATTTTCTGTGGAATAGATGCCCTGGTAGGTGTGGACACACCGAAACTAATTGTGCCAAGTGAATTCAAGGTAGGTCACTATCAGTTTATTTGGTGGCCTTTGGAAGAGGTTCCCTTTTCTACCCATCTGTCATGTATAAAATGACTTGTATAAAATAACAGGAGGCCAGCCAGCTGTCCGGAAGGGACTGTTTTACTCACATAATTTTTTTATTAGTACCATTTTGGTTGGATTATTTATCTCCTAAATCCTGCCTCTGTACTTTGAACCTTTTGTTGCTGTTGATGGGAAGGATGAAATTGTCTCAAACCTCAAGTGTCTTCCTGTGGCCTCATTGCTGGAAGTACAAATGTATTTAGGCTGTCATCACTACTCTATTGTGGCTCTAATACAAGCTCTCTTTTCCTTGCCGTTAAAAGCCAACCAGCCCTGAGAGGGGTTGGTTTATCCCACCTTTTGGAGGGAACCCATGGTGGGTATACCTGGCAGCAGCCATCCCTGCACTGCTGGTGACTATCCTCATCTTCATGGACCAGCAGATCACAGCTGTCATTGTCAACAGGAAGGAGCACAAGCTCAAGGTGGGTGTGCATTGTGTCTTCCACATATGCAGAGAGCTGCCCGGTGCTTTTTCTGTGCTAGAGATGGAGGAGGGCCTGTGGCAGTGCTGAAGGTACATGCCACCTAAGAGATGTCATTGCTGGTGTTTAACAGCAGTATGTATTTTGTTAACTAGCATAGAGGGGTTTTTGCCAGAAAAGCCACTGATTCAGTTGAGTAGCTTGAGCATTGCACAAGCAGCATTGGCCTTCCTCCTGAAGCCTATAGCAAGAACCCAGTGCAGGGCCAACTCTCAGTGCCTCTTTCAGTAAGCACCTATTCATACTCATTTTGATTGGCTTCACCATCCTGTGGCCTGAAATTTTCCCACATGAGAAGCTTTGAGATTGCTCCTTCCTACTCCATCATAAAGAGGTCCCATGCCAGGAATAGTTGAATTTCACAAAACCAGCCAGCTATTCTGTCCCTTGTAGGGGAAGCAAGGGGCTTAGACCCATCACATCCTGCCCACTGCTCATCTGGAAAAGAGGTGGGTAGAGCCATAAGACATCAAAGCAGTCCTTCTTGGAGAGACAGGACTTTTGTTTAAAACTCCCTTTCATGTCAACATAAACTCAAAAGTTTCTTAAAACCTTTAAATTTTGGTCTTTCTTTGCAAGTGCTTCACTCTCCAACTGTAAACATTTGGGAATGGCAAAGAGAACTTGTGAATATAGGCTATTCAAACCTTGTTTGGTAAAGAATACTGACGTGAACCATGTCTAAGCTGCTGCCTTAACCTTGCGGCCCCTGCAGCTCTACTCATAGTAGTTCTGGTCTACCTTAGTCAAGGGCTGGATGAGTTCATGTTAGAATGCACCAGTCTTGACCCTAGAGGTGTTGTTTGCCTTGGTAATTCTGCAAGACTCTGCCATTTGAAGAGTTAGAAAAGGAAGGAGGGTGCACATCTGTCCACAAAAGTAAAGTTATTTGCTTGTCTGCTCTGTTTGTCCATCGGGCTTGCTCTGCATTTCCAGCAGGAGATGAGAAATCATTGAACTCAGAAACTGGGGAGAAAAGTTGATGCCAGTCATTCTGGGTGTTTGCTGTTGTAGGGTAAATGCATGCTGTCCTCTGCGTCCAGCAAATACAGTTATACCTCCTACAAGAACTGTTCATTCCCTTACAGCAAGCCAGTAAGCTGCAGAGATTTGGGACATACCAAGGGCATAGCCACAGTTGGATGTTCTTTAAAGAAGAGCTTTGTATCCACTGACATGTAACAACCTAGGATGTAGTTTTTAAAATGAACTTTCCAGACCGGTGCTATGCATTTTTTCATGCCTTTAGGGTTTTTCCTTGCCCTGCATGGCCAGTTCTATTGAAAAATACTAAATTCATGTAGAAGACAACTCTCCCTTCCTGCTAATGGGGCATGTTTCAAGTAGCCTACCCCGTGAGAGTAAAGACTCCCTCAAAACGTGGGTAATGCTGGGTTATTATTTAGATACCTTCTGAAAATTTGAATGGAGCTTTTACTTGGAAAAGAGGAGGATTTTTCCATTCACATGGTCACTGTGGGCATTAGACAACCAGTGTGTGATTTAAGACTGTCCTCAACCTGACCTGGAGGAGAAAGACAGAGTAACAGGGAATGGGAAGGGTTTGTTGTGCACAATGATGAGTGCTGGCTGATGGGCTTATGGGGCTGGTTTTAAAAAAATAACCAAAACCCTCAGAACGTCCCTTTTTGCCATCTCAGTCTGGGCAGATATATTGAATATATCTGTGCCCACATCTTCGTAACCATAGAATCACAGACTGGTTTGGAGTGGAAGGGACCTTAAAGCTCATCTGTGGGCAGGGACACCTTCCACTAGAGTGGGTTGCTCAAAGCCCCATCCAGACTGGCCTTGAACACTGCCAGGGATGGGGCAGCTGCAGCTTCTCTGGGCAACCTGTGCCAGGGCCTCACCATCCTCATAGTAAAAATTTCTTCCTAATATCTAGTCCAAATCTCCCCTCTGTCAGCCTGAAGCCATCCTCCCTTGTCCTGTCACTGCCATCTCTTGCACCCACCTAAGCAGACATACCATTTTCTTAATCACTGGAGGAATATATTCACTGTTATTTTTCCATGAAGAAGAGGCTCCTCATCTCTTCAGCTTATAGACACTCTCAACATGATTATGCTGTCAGCACTGGCTGTACTCTTTTAGTAACAAGCTATAAACACTCCAGCAAAGTACTGTTTCATATAAAAACTTTATTTCCTGCTTCTTTTGTTATGATTGTGAGGACATTCTTTTGTTTAATTGGAAGTTCTTGAGTCCAATTCTGCTACTCTGCAATAAAAAATAGCTCCACGCACAAAATCTATGGTAGTCCAGAAGAAGGACAGGGTTTATCTGCTAGCTCCTTCCTGGAGTCTTGGCAGGGTGTCACTAAGTGCCTGTCCCAGTGCTGCTGGCCAGCCAAGGTAAGCAGTCCACATATGAGGAAAACAATGAGGACTCTTTATAAGGAGCTGGATTGCTTTCCCTCCTGGGTCACCAAATAGGTCCAGATCATTTGTTCTTTCCTATATAATCAAATAGAACAGGATTAAAAAAAGGTTACTCTTCTTTCAAATAGCAGACCTTAGAGATTTTTCAAGTGTTTTTTTCTGCAGATCCCTTTCTTTGGTGGTTCTTCTGTTTTTCTGCTTCTTCTCTTGGTGCTTGTGACTGATGGAGTTCATGTGTTAGTTCATTAAAGGATTAAAAAAATAGAAGATCAGAGGTCTTTCAAAAGGAGTGAAGAGTGAAAGCTTTCTCCTTTCAATAGGGTATGAGCCCATCAGCTGTTCTTGTTGCTTTCCTCCCAAAATCCAAGAGGTGGGTGCAACCACCAGGCACCATCAGCAAAGCTCAGACCAGTTGTGAAGACCAAAGTATGAGATCCACCAGCTGATCCTTATTCTAAATATAAGACTTCGCATCTCACTCTAAGGCAGCAAATGGCAAATGTTACCTTTAGGATGTAAAGGGTGCTTAAAGCTCTGTACACATCTAAGCTGGCACGCAGCCACGAGGTGACCTGACTTAAGAAGGTACCAATCTAGGCTTCCCACCACCTCAGAAGGAGTCCTCATAGCAGAGCAGTCTTTTACCTCATTTACTTCACCAAATATCCTTTGGTGAAGGTTCTTGTCTTTAACTCATGGACTGCTGTGTCAAGTTACCTCTCTAAGAAACTATTAGACTGGTCACAGCTTGTACCAGCTGAACCTCCAGGCACTATGTAGTGTCTACAAGGTATCTGGTCTTTTGCCAGACTTGCTTGGAAGTCTGGTGCTCTCCTGTGGTTACTGCATGCTGTTGTCTTCAGAGCTTGCCTGAATTCTTAACACATTTGTTTTCCCTGCAGAGTCAGGTAATCTACCCTTTAAGGAGCAATGTCTCCTACTCTGCTGTTTGGATGCTGGAGAGGGAATCTTCATCAGGAACTGCAGAGATAGGACAAGGGATAATGGGTTCAAATTTAAACAGGGAAAGTTCAGATTAGATATAAAGAAGAAGTTCTTACTATGAGGGTGGTGAGGCACTGGAACGGGTTGCCCTAAGAAGTAGTAAATGCAGTGTTCAAGGCCAGGTTGGACTGAGACTTGGATGACATGGTCTAGTGTGAGGTGTCCCTGCCCATGGCAGGGTGTTGGAACTGGATGATCTTAAGGTCCCTTCCAACCCAAATCATTCTATGATTCTGTGATTCTTATGACAATTTCTGTGGCCAGAATATGCTGTAGAAGGAAATGGGTTGGAGCCCTGACAGTTTCATTGGTATTTAGTATAATTAAGCTGAAGATTATCCCTCTCCCTTCACAGAAAGGTGCTGGATATCATCTGGACTTGTTCTGGGTGGCTATTCTGATGATCATATGCTCCTTTATGGGTCTGCCCTGGTATGTTGCTGCTACTGTCATTTCCATTGCTCATATCGACAGCTTGAAGATGGAGACAGAAACTTCAGCTCCTGGAGAGCAGCCCAAGTTTTTGGGAGTGAGGTATGTCAAGCCAGAAAGGCCTTAATTGCCTTGTTTGCCAGCAGAGATCAGTTTGTACTATAAATGGTATTGCTTCAAGCAGGACATGTGCAGAGGTTCAGGGGGAATAGCTCTCTGGCAATTCCTTGGACAAATCCCCATGTAACTCCCCAAGTTTATTCAACTGGATCAGATGCAGTTTTCCCATGATTGAGAAAGGAGATAAATTTGCTGCAGACTTTTTCACCCGTGGAAATTGGACATCAGCAAACAGAATGGTAAAAAGTGTAAACCTGCCATGCCTAGAGCCATCAGCTCTACTTAATCAAGCAATCTTTTTTCTGTATTTGATTGCCTTAATTAAGTGAAGTGCTGCCCATAGGAGGAGTTCTCGAAATCAACCACTTGTTTAAGTGACTAAATAGAAATTTAATGTTTTAACTTTCAGTACTCTGAAATATGACTGGCCAAAGTATTTTTGGATAAAGGGAGCAGCTGAAGACACATGTTCGGCACTCCACGAAGCCCTGCACCATCTGTCCAGCTGCTGGGGTTCTATGACCAGGACTCAAAACAGGCTATTAATCTAAAAGTGGGGAGCTAGTGATTTATTACCTATTTGCCTGCTATAAATCCTGCTGTGCAGAGGATTTGGATTGTTGGTTTCTAATGTTTAATATGTAAACACACTCCTCCTTATTGAGTAGCAGCATGCTGTTGATCCCCAGACAGCAGAGCAACATATGAAAACTGATCAGGTGTTTGAAAAATGGAGGGCTAAAAGCAGGGCAAAAGCTGAAGCCATCCTGCTCACCCCATGATTTTGTTTCAGGGAGCAGAGAGTCACGGGAGTCATCGTTTTCATTCTGACTGGTGTATCTGTCTTCATGGCTCCCATCCTAAAGGTAAGGGCAGCATCTTTTCCGCTTCCTTCTGTTCACACAGCCAAGATAGGGCCACCACTACTATCAGGCTATTTTTATGTTACTGAAAAAGCTCATCACTGAAGTGTGGAAAAGAAGATAAGTGAGAACTAAATTGCTGATGCAGTGTTACAATTTTCTGGAAGCTTAAATACAAACCTTTTGGAAGGAAAGAATAACGTTGTTGTAGTGTGCTGGATAGTAATAGTTACCAGGTTCAGAGCTGGTGGTCTTGAGGCTGTGATTTTTATTTTGTTTTCATTTTAAGATTTGTCTTCCATGTTTGCATAAAGTTAAATTTCCTTCTATATTGCACACTTCTGCTGTGCATGTGTTTTGTGGAAAATATATTGAGGATAAAGCTTGAGAGCCTGCCGGTGGAGTGATGGAAGGACAGTTGGCAATGCAGTAGAGTTGCTGTGTGGAAAACACAGGTTAACAGATGGATATGTTGATTTAAAAGTACATTTGTATTTATTTGAGCATGCATGCATCTTCACAGACTGGTTTGGGTTGGAAGGAACCTTAAAGCTCATCCAGTCCCAACCCCCTGCCATGGGCAGGGACACCTTCCACTAGACCAGGTTGCTCCAAGCCCTGTCCAACCTGAACTTGAGCACTGCCAGGGATGGGGCAGCCACAACACGGAAGAATGCGCAGAAGTGGTGGCAATGAGTAGAGTCTACAGCTGATGGTATTATCCATTGGTACAGTTCTGGCCAGAAATCTTTGGGACCATTGCCACCGCCATATCAGAGCTGTACCCTGCCTGCTGCAGCTGCCAAGACAGTGTGAGGCTCCTGCAGCAATCAAATTTTCATTCTTTTAGGCTAGATTCTCCTAAAATAGCACATTCTTTATCAATCAGAAGCAATGTCCAGTATGGAAAACGTGTTTCTGGGGGAAGCAGTGCAATTAAATGTGTTTTTTTAATCTGCTGACTTCTTACGAGTTTAGCCAAGGCTCTGGACAGACGTGCTGCTGATGTGCCATTTAGTCTAGGTGGGTAGCTATTTCTAAGACCTTGAAATTTGTTGGCATAGAGCCACAGAGAAACACGTCCTTAGTAGGTCATCAGGTCGTGGAAGGAAACTGAAAACCTACTTAGCCATGTCTTGTGGAGAATACCACCTTCTCCAGGGATGATGGTTTCAGTGGCACCAAGTGCAGGTATTCTGGAGATACTAGCTGCAGAAGTCCATCTCCTTGGACTAATGGTATGAGCAGAAGATGTCAGAAGAGTAACATACGCATTGGAACAATGGCAGTATGCATGCTAACTCCTTGATGGAGCAGACAGGTGTATGGAGAAGCATTTCTGGAGGAAGCAGAGGAGTTTTAGGTCATGAGGAGGTTGGAAGCCATGGGGACTGCAAGACACAGGTAGATGTGAGCCCGAAGGGGAGGAGGCAGGCAGAGAGCAGTGATACTGCCTGTATATGTATAAAGCAGAGAAGGTGGCTTTACAAAGTCAGCGTGTTCCTATTCTCGATTCCTAAGGTGGTTTTTACAACTGGCAAATTTTTGTGCCTTGGTTAAGTTTCCTCCTCTGCACAGACAAGCATTTCCGTGCCCTTAATTTAATGCCTGGTAGGTAATAATTCTGTTTGTTAGTTCATGTGACCTTTCCCTGCAAGATCTCTCTTCCTCTATTTCACTGGGTCTATTATTCCCCTGTTATTGCTTCGTTCATTAATTATTTGACCGTGCTTCCCCTAAGAGCGTATATGAGGAAGATCCTGGTGGGAGGACGCCTGAGGATAAATGGGCACGCTCTTCACCCACGTGCCAGTGAGAAGAACTTGGCAGTGTTTCAGGACCTTTAACAAAGTGGCAGGGTCCTCTCCTCGAGAGAACCGCTTGCTAAATCCATTGCAGAACATTGCAGTCTCCTCATGCCAGCGGCAAATTGGACACTAACGATCCCAAATTCAATAAAACCAGGCAATCCAATCTTTGTTTTTTGTGGGTTTTGCAGTGTTTGTGCTGGTTTTGAATGTTCCTATAAATACATTTTTAATTCTGTTGGCTAGCAGCAGGTTTGCTTGGAGTGCCAGAGCCAGCAACCCCATAGTTAGGGAATACTTTGCCAAAAGCAAGTCTTCCAGAATGAATGCACTGCTTACTACTTGCAGGATAATGTACTGAAGTTTCACCCAGGGATGATTTATAGGATTAATTATCATGGGATAGGGAAATAATATTTGGACATCTTTCTTTCTTTAAAGCTAACAGAACTAGAAGGGGAGGGAAAGAGCAATGTAAATTTGCTAGAAAGCTCGACTCTGAAAGCCTCCTACCCAACTTGCTAGAGGAGATATTATCTTGTCTAATCTCTCAGACTCACTGAGGGCTTTGAATCCCTTGGACACACGCAGTTATGTGAACCACATGCTGGCCTCTCATCCCTCCCCATGGTGGCCACACTGAACCCTGGCTGTGGCAAAAACTCCTGGCTTTTGGGGTGAAATATCAATGCAGCCCTCTCAAGGAAGGGAATAAATTCATGAGAAAGATTTATTAGGAATCATGAAGCTTTCGGGGGCTGGTAGGGAATAAGACTCAGGGGAGGGAAGAATATAGGCAGGGAAGGATGGCACATTGCCTGGTGACATTGGTACTAATGTGCCTAAGTGAAATGCATGTATTGGGGATCAAGGTCTCCAGAGGTACGTGCACATCACTGTTTTTGAGCCAGTAAATAATGAATAATGTGGTGGGGAATACGATAAAACACTGCTGTTTGCCTGCTGAGTGAGTTACCAGCAGTGGTGCTGGCCACTGGTGCCGTGGGAGCCTTGGCTGGGCCGTGGCTGCCCTTCAGTGGCAGCCGCCCGTCACTGCATCAAGGCTTCCCTTCAGCGACACGGCAGAGCTCTGCCCATGCTTCTTGGGTTCAAACTAAACCACGCAAAGACAGTTGTTCATTTCCTGTGTGTTACCATGCACCTTGCTCGTTTCCAAAGGGAGATGTCCCCTATGGCAGGACCAGTGATGGAGGAATGGGCAGCACGTGGTACTTAAAGGAGCAGAAATTGGCATTTGAAAGAGCAGTGGCAGTGAAGAAAGTTATTCACTGTCCTGTGTTTGTGAATATTTATGGGTTAGCGTGTGTGAAAGATGGAGCAGTCAGAGATTTGGTTGCCATGACTTGTCATCACCAAGGCAGGATTCGTGGATTTCCATGATTTACTGAGCTGGACATACCACAGGATCATGCTGCCTTTTCTTCTCTACCTTCTGCTTCTCACCAGAAGCCAAGAAGTTTTCACATGGAAAAGATGAGGGGTTACTTCTGAGGAGATTCCAACTGGACACAGGAGGAAAATTTTCAATATGAGGAAAGCCAGCCACTGGAATAATCTCCTGAGGGCTGTGGTGGAATCCCCAGGGTTGGATACTTTAATTCGTCTGGACTTGGTGCTGGGATGTCTACTCTAGGTCATGCTTTCCCTAGAAAGGTTGGATCAGATGATCCTTGAGGTCCCTTCCAACCCGATATTCTGTGCTACGTGAAAAGCAGGTTGAGGCTTACTGGAACACATTTACTCCATCTCTGTTAATTTGCTGAGTGACTGGCACTGCCTGGCTTTGTTCCCTTTAGTTCTTGGAGAGACATCCAAGTCAGAAACTAGTTTGGGTTGGAAGGGACCTTAAAACTCATCCACTTCCAAACCTCTTCCATGAGCAGGGACACCTTCCACTAGACCAGGTTGCTCCAAGCTCTGTCCAACCTGGCCTTGAACACTGCCAGGGATGGAGCAGCCACAGCTTCTTTGAGCAGCCTGTGCCAGTGCCTCACCAGCTTCATAGTGAAGAACTTCTTCCCATTGAATTGGTGAAGCTCAGGGCTTGTTCAGCCCCTGCCCAGCTCCTCAGCCCTCCAGTGACTGCACAAACACTCTGGCTCTTGAAACACAAAGTAAGGATTGCTTGCTTTATTACCTGTGTCGTGCGTAGGTGCAACTCGATTTGTGGTGTTCTGAGGCTAGGAATCATGTCCACCGACATGTTAATTGTGTGTTGTGTGTGGAGGTTGTTCACTCAGTGTCTCCTGCTCTTTCCCCAACAGTTCATTCCCATGCCTGTGCTCTATGGTGTCTTCCTCTACATGGGTGTTGCGTCTCTCAATGGCGTGCAGGTGAGTCCCTCTGACAGCCAGTAGCTGGCTCCCTGCTGGGCCTTCTGCAGAAGATCGTAGAATCCCAGACTTGTTTGGGTTGGAAGGGACCTTAAAGCTCACCCAGTTCCAACCCCCTGCCACAGGCACGAACACCTTCCACTAGATCAGGTTGCTCCGAGCCATGTTTAGCTGCCTGGTTTAGTTGCCAACTATAGGGTAGACCCAGGACCTGCATTTGAGACAGATGAATTAACATGTTTAGTCTACCCTGCATTAAGCACACGTCCATGAGGATAGGGGAGCTCTGCTGGGTCTTCTACTGGGTTCATCTTACGGAAAGAAAGCAAGTTGATTCAAGGTCACACTCCAAGGTGGAATAATGCTTTTGTATCTCTTTCTCTTACATCCTGGGTTTAAATCCCCATTTCTTCTCCTCCCCAGTTCATGGATCGTCTGAAGCTGCTCTTGATGCCTCTAAAACACCAGCCTGACTTCATCTACCTGCGCCATGTCCCGCTGCGCAGGGTCCATCTGTTCACCTTCCTGCAGGTGGTGTGCCTGGCCCTCCTCTGGATCCTCAAGTCAACCGTGGCTGCTATCATATTCCCTGTCATGGTAGGTGATGATCTCCTTCACATCCTTTTGCAGCCTTCACCTTTCATTCACGGTCATACCCTCCTATGAACAGGTAAACAACCTCTCCCTGTTGAATCTTCAGCTTGGGGCTCTGCCTCCATTCTGAGGGAAGACTGTATTGGGTCAATGTCCCCATGGCTGCCTTTCCATGAATCCTCTGGAGGAAAACAAGCCTGGAAAGTTCATTTTTTTCCAGAAAGCTGTAGTTATTTCTGACTGTTTCTGGCTGCCAAGGTTAGATTTCCCATGCTTTCTCCTCGAGCTGCATAACGAATGAGTGGTGCATAGTTTTACTTCTTCAGTCCACACTAATTACCATGCAGAACATACCTCCCTTGCTTTTAAATAGCACAGAGTGACAAAACCAAGAGTGAGGCTCTCTGCTAAGAGGTGTGTCAAATGCAGGGAAGGATTAGCTAAATCAGCAGCAAAATAAAAATAATGTTTTTTTTCCTTGAGCTTGAGTGAAAACACCATAATGTCAATTTCATGTGTTTCCCATCAGAGGATGAAATGTAAGTCTACAGGATGCTTGTCCTCCTCCTAATAATGCATATCAGAGTCGTGTTCAAACTCATTTTGGATGTTGAGGGATAAAATGTTCATGATGCAGAGCACTGTTTCTTAAATATATACTCTTCAGTCAGTCTGATATAGTATTTCCATGTATTTCTGTTCCCTTGGTAGCAGGGGAATAATGAAACAGCTTTCTGTGCATTTAGATTATTGCTAGAGGTATAAATATGGACACTTACACCAAATGAAAACCAAACAACTGTTATGAGGAGTTTATAAGTACACTTTGCCTCAGGCATCAAAACCTGGGACCATGCACATTAAATGAGGGAGCACAGAGTAGGTCCTCCACCTCTGTGCCTGACCTGTAGCTCAGCTGGAACAGCCATAGGGACAGATGGATTAGGTGTGGATCCAATGAGATCATATCTGCATGCACAGAGATTCTGCCAAATCTGGTCTCTGGCATGGACATGGGTTAGACTGACGAAAAGTTGAAGCTTCATGAAACTCCCTGAAGAAACCTGTGCCCAGTGTCACCCGGTTTTGGGTTTACAGAAAAGTAGAATTTCAGTTGTGGGTGCAGTTAGGCAAGGGAAACCAGAAAGCAGAACAAGGTCAAGCGTTTGTTCTCTGCTGCTGGTGAAATGAGAAAAGATGATGCATGTGAAAAAAATCCTCCAAATGTTCTTTCTGGGACACATGCTCATGTATAAAGGCATTAAAGATAACCAGTTCCCACTGAAATGCTGTTCCATTGCATTTTCATGCTGTTGAAAGCTGAGTCTAAGGTCTGGACACTCTTTGCCTGTAAGAGAGAATACGAGTGAACTGAAGACTGCTGAAGTTTTTTACAATGGTGCAAACTCGGTGACGTAGTCACAGCTTAGAGGTAGCTGGGTCTGATGACAAAACCTCAGTTATTTGCACTCATGATCAAAAAGGCTATAAATATAAGCTTCCAATCTGCGAAGATCCAGCCAATAACCAAACTTCTGTTTATATAAAGCACTTTTAATACACAAGTAATTCATAACAGCGTAATGATGGGTGTCTACATGGCATCTTTAAACCCTCTAAGTAATTTTTTACTTCTATAATTGTGTCTTAAGTTATGCAAGTCGAAGTTTGAGATCTTTTGTTAGGAATTGTTTGTGCCATTGATCATCATTGCTCAGAACAAACTTTTCATCTTAAAGGCAGTCTGCAGTTGTCAGGGTTATGTCTGTTAGTAGTCGAGTTTTGAGCCTGTGAGTCTCAGTAGGTATCTGGTGGTGGTATGTTTATTTCCAGCCAGAATTAAAGCGTGTGGGATTAAGAAGCAGCATAAAGAGGAATGCAGTGTTCCCTATTAAAGGTAAATTGTGACTGAGATGTCCCTCTCTGCCTTTTCAGATCCTGGCGCTTGTAGCAGTCAGAAAAGCCATGGACTACCTCTTCTCCCAGCATGACTTAAGCTTTCTTGACGACGTCATTCCAGAAAAGGACAAGAAAAAGAAAGAGGATGAGAAGAAGAAGAAGAAGAAGAAGGGCAGTGTGGACAGTGACAATGATGATGTAAGGAGCTTTCTGGTCTTGTCAAATCGCTCATTTCTAGGTAGCTAATCCCAGGGGACAGTCCATTCCCCTTCCCAGCCTCTTCTGAAGCCGACCAGTTCAGTCTTTTGCTACTGCAGCAAACAAGCAAGCTTTTCTACATTGCCTTTCCTTTTTCCAGATGTCACCAGCCTGTGATATGTCATGCTGGCACTGCCAAAAATGAAATCACACTTTGCACAAGAACACTAGATACCTGCTGAGATGTCATGCCCTTTACTAGAAGGCCTTTCATCACCCTGCCTGGTTTCATCTTGCCCCCCTCTGCCTCTCTCCCCTGTCACTGGCTTTTACATTTTAGGAGGAGAATGGTTTTCACCAGCTGCTCTTTTGCTTCTGAATGTTTTCTGGTTTTCTTTTTTGATACTTCCTTAAATTACTCTTTTTAAAGGCACAAATGTATGTGACTTGTTGCACTGAAGGCAAGACTGCTTTCTGGTGATAATACTCATGACCTAAGTATTTCCAAAGCATACATGCCCATATGCTTCATACTCTTTGGTCCTACCTTAGGTTGCAGAATGCCCTAAAATAGTGAAATGTAGGTGCTTATGTCATTGCTGAGCAAGGTGACCTGCCTAGACCAGATCCATGTGCCTTAGATTGTTCTATTTTTTCCTGTATATGTAAAAAGAAGAAATGTAGTCCTAGTGCCTTTGAACATTCTCCTACCCAGTTCTAGCATGAACTACTGTGTAACAGCCTGGGTTCCTGAAGAAGGGCTTTTCCATGATGCAGGCAGAGGTAAGATGGCCCAAATATGGGGAAAAAAAAACAAAACAAAAGAACAACAAAAAACCATTTTAACACAGCAGGAGAAAGAAATGAGAAGAGTTTGCGCTTTAGGAGGAGGCAGACAGCAGGAAAAGTCAGCTGTCCCTTCCTCAAGCCCCCTGCCCAGGTCACTGACAGGGCTTTGCTCTGTGTTTGGAGGGTTTATGCTGGCAGTATCATCTGCATCCTTTCTGCAATGAGCAGATTGACCAAATCCGCCCTCCCTGTGGGGTAGATAATACATCTGATGTCCTCGAGAGAAAAATGGCAGCTCCAGGAGCTCCCCAGACCATCCCGATGCCTGATTTTGCTCAAGTTTGGGTCAGTAGAGAAGACAATCTCAGTACTGGTGGAAGGCAAGCTAGAACCTGAGTCCTTTATGTGAGAGCTATCTAACACCTCTGCAGATCTGTGTTAGAGGCAACAAAGTCAGGGTATTTCAATGAGAAAATAATGCAAAGTCCTTTCTACAAATAATATATGGTGCCTAAAGTGGAGCATGTACACTGCAAGAGGCAAAACTTGGACTTCCTTAGAGGTAATGGTGCAGCATTGTAGGAGGTAGCCTGGATCCACGCCTTGTTAAATCATGCTGAATCCCAGCTAGGGAGATTGGCTCTTCTTTCAGACAGCAAGCTCCCTGTTCCCATCATTCCTTCAGTTCCTGAGAGCCAAGGGATCCATCAGCTGATAACTTGGTGCAGACCAAAAGAGGCAAAATGCCCTACTGTATATAGAGAATAGTCAGTAAGGGTTTGACTCCATCACCTCCTCTTGACTGAATTGAATCCAGCAGCACCATATCCTGAGCCATGATACCCATATTTCCAGTATTTCCTAAGCTATCTCTTCCCTTCTCAGGCTTTTTGTGAATTTCAGGTACAGTAATTGATCTAATGCGTGAGAGAATTTATGCAAAATCTTGGTTCTTAACTCTTCTTGTTTTATTTTCAGCACTGGCTTTACCAGCTTCCTGAACATAGAGCACTTGGCATTATTGGTTTCATTATTTTTATCCTTTCCCTTCCAGAAGTATGCCCCCACAAACTAATTACTCCATTTGCCAAATGAAAACTGAAGCACCTTGGTTTCGTCTCCATTTTTATGTCAAAAAACGCATGATTCAAGAGAGGCCAGACAATTTTTTATTATAGTACATAGGAGCTAGTATACAAATTTTCTGTCAGAAGTACGGTGTAATAGTCTTTTCTTACTTTGGCTTACCTTACCTTGCTAACTGCAGATATTTCCTCTGTCTCCTTGTTCATTTTAGATGGGTAAATCTAAAGTAGACCCTGATCATCAGCATTGCTGTTCACAGACCTCTTACATTGATTTATTAGCATTGAAACGGTGCTAATACGTTGGTGAGGTTACCCAGCCCTTATGCTCTGGGATTTGGGGATGGCTTCATTGCCTCAGTGCTTCATTGCTCAGCAAGCTTATCTTTATTTGAGCTATGGGCATCCCTCAGCCTTGGAAAAATGCTCCTGAGGATACATTTTTGCTTATTGGAATATGAAACACTACACTGGATGTCAGTTGTGTTAAAAAATAATTTAAATAATAATAATAATCCAGGGAGAAGGATTCTCTGGCCTCAGCAGCGTTTTCCTGCCCTGATTCAAAGGGCTCCCTCCACACCAGACACGTACTCGTGTTTAGTCCTCTCCAGGAACAAAGATGTGTTAACATTTCTGGCAAACATCTCCTCGCTTCCTTTGCCAAGTTATGCAATATCAGTCTTTTCTTGGTTATGAGAGGTTACTTTTAAGTTTAAAAAGCAAAGTACCTTCTACTAAGCATAAGCAAGTGGCTTGCTGAAGCCACTGGGGTATAAATGATGCTGCGACCCAAACTCCAGGGACTCCTGTGTATGGCTTCTCTCAGTACTTGTGCCTCTTCTTGACCAGTTTCTCCCAGCTGGCTGGGAGCACTGAATTCTTAGAAGGGCCCTTCGTTTGATGAACTGTTTTACTGGAAATAGAGGTGTGATTAAGACTGGGTTTGACTCAGCTTAAGTTAAAGTTGAGACATTCCAGCTGCTGTATCATGTCTGGTCCTATCCTTGTTGAGCAATTGGGAAGTAAAAAGGGGGCTTACAGAAATCACAGAGGATTGGGTTTTTTTTTTTGCTGAGCGATGTCCTGTTATTGCTGCCTACAGATGCGTTTTCCTGCAGCCGACTCCAAGGTGAATTGGATGTTGCCCTATAATCTGGTGGCAAAGGAGCTAGTGAGGTGGGGAAAGGGGAAGAGACCGATCACACCAGATTGTTTCTTCAATCTGTTTTACTTTCCTAGTGTGAAGGAAGAGGGAAAGTGGGGTGCAGGGGGAACCAGTGGAAACTAGCAGGCAACTAAGCTAGACGATGCCAGTTTATTTTTTTCTCCTTTTCTTTTCCTCATTCCTACAGAAACTGTGTGAAGGATAATTTTAATTTATGGGAGACGATAAGGGAGCGAGCAGTGAAAATATTCTAAGACCTTTTACACGTTTCTTTCACAGTCTGACTGCCCCTACTCAGAAAAAGTCCCAAGTATTAAAATACCAATGGACATCATGGAGCAGGAACCTTTCCTAAGTGGTAGCAAACCTGCTGACAGTGAGTAGAACTAACCTCTTGCATGCCTGCTTGACTCTGACTTGCAGTACAAAAATTTATCTATATTTAGAATGATTTAAAACAGCAAACAAACCAGCCTTCCTATTACTTGAGAATTACTTTTTCTTGTTCTTTTTTTTTCTCGTTTTTAATTTCCAGGCCTCTGATTAATGACAGATTTTGGGGTTGTGAGGGTTTTTTTGTTTTCTCATTACAAATTCTGTGTTGTTCCTTCTGGTGCCTCCAGCTTAAGCACTTTTATTCAGCTACTGGCAGGTCTCTTGGCCACTCTCCTCCTCTCTTTTCTGACCCTTCCTGTTTTGTGTTAACTCTGTTGATGGTTGGATTGACATTTTTCCTCTGAGCCTACTGTTCTGGATTTGCAGCATGTCTAAACTGCATTGTTGTCCTGTTACTGTTTGCTTCCTTAGTGCCAAGCAGCTGCAAAAATCAGTGCTTGAAAGAATAATTAAGCATGTCCTTGATTGCACGTTACACTGACGGTCAGTTGACCATTAACATATTTCCCTTCTTAGGTGATTTGCCTTTGTGCTATTCTATTGCTTATTAATTTCTTACCTTAATATTTGTAATTGGTAATTACCATCTCTATTTTCAGTCATAAACTTTCCATATTATAACCTTTTAAGTGAGTGATGGGAATAACAACTGACCTTAGCTTTTTCGCATTTGCCCTCACCTACAACACAATGAGCAATGGGATCCACAGAATCACAGAACGGTTTAGGTTGGAAGGGACCTTAAAGCTCATCCAGTTCCAACCCCCTGCCACAGGCAAGGACACCTTCCACTAGACCAGGCTGCTCAAAACCCCGTCCAACCTGGTCTTAAACACATCTGGAGATCAATAGGCTGGTTTGTCATGAGGCAGGAGGGGAGAAATACAAATGATAGTAATAAATGAGTGTTGCTGCAAGGCTGGTAGTGGTTTCTAGGAGTAGGACCTAAAGCCACAGATCTTTAGATCCTTAAACTATCATTTGAGTTTAAGCTGGTACCCAAGTCCCTTGCTTTTGGTGGCATTTAGATGCCTTAGGCAATCCTAAGCCTTGCCCTGTGTGTCTTTACAGGAACACTCAGGGATTGCCATTGTAAAACAAAGCCAAAGAGCCATTTCCCTGACTATTTAGATATTCTTAGTGTTTTGCTGATAAGGAAATTAAAAGAAAATCCAAAGAGATCCACCTGATTTTTCTGTGCAAACACCCTGATGTACTAAAACCAAATTTCACCCTGCATGTTGTTACCCAGGATTTTACAATCAGATGCATTGTTTTCAATATCTTTAAGACTGAAGTAGGTGAGAAAAAGATAATTTTTATGTCAACCTGTTTGTTGGAATGTGCTTTGAAACAGCACAGGGTAAATCACCCATGAGCAGAGCAGTAGTTGGTTTGCCTACTTATAGAATCATAGGATAGTTAAGGTTGGAAAGGACCTTAAGATCATCCAGTTCCAACCCCCTTGCCATGGGCAGGGACACCTCACACTAAACCATGTCACCCAAGGCTATGTCCAACCCAGCCTTGAACACTGCCAGGGATGGAGCATTCACAACTTCCTTGTACATTTTTATAATCTAGTATTTGATTTACTGCTTTTAACTGGAAACTAAGCAATAAAATAAAATCAGGCCCTTTGATTAGAAAAATACCTGGAATCCAGCAAGACTGTGCTATTGTCCTTGACTGTAACCGTGCTCTGGGATTCAAGGTATGCTACTATAACACAGTAATACTGCTGACATTAGCTTTCCTTCAGTAACAGCAAGAACATGATTATTATTAATAGAGAGTATACTTCCCCATGCTGGGTCAGAAAAGGAAAGCACCTCTTTTCTCACAGGGAATTTGGGTGCAACAGTGAGGAGTGCAGGGTAACTAAAGAGGTGTAGGTAAAAGGTAAGTGCCAAGACCTAAAGGTGGTGAAAGGCTTGGGAAATGAGGCTTTTGGTCATGTTGGCAGTTCAGGGGATTTCATCTTGGTGCTGAGAGAGAGAGAAAATGAGTGTTTTTACTCACAAGCTGTGAAATTCATCTGGCAGGCAGTCAGCAGTAAAAAAGCATTGCCAAATAGATGGAGGCTGGGCTTGGAGAAGCCATCAGTGCTGAAGGCAATGACGAACAAGCCTTTCTTCCCAACAGGAGAAAAATCACCAACATTCCTTGAACGCCACACGTCGTGCTGATACAATTCCTTTCCTTCAATCACACACCATGCCAAGGTAAGCACCCCAAAAAATGCTTTACAATGATATCTCAAAACCGTCTCAACTACCCTTCCTTATACCAAAAGGCAATGAAGCAGGAAGAGGAAACTCTGAGAAACCCCTCGGAAAGAATTCCCAACACAGGGTTGCAGCAACCTCGCCTAGTGGAAGGTGTCCCTGGCCATGGCAGGGACTTGGAACTAGATGAGCTTTAAGGTCTCTTCTAACCCAAGCCATCCTATGATTGTATGAATTTCTAATCCTGAGCTGGAATTGGGAAACTGGAGTCCTGGGGTCTCCACCAGCCTTCGTTAAACCCCAGCTTCAGTACCTGTGGCTGGCTTGGGGTCTAAAAACCAGAAGAATGGTGTTGATCAACTTAGAGGAGTCTAAAAATACATCTACATGGGAAAAAATAAAATAATTTGGATTGGTTTAGTCTTTAGGAAAAGAAAAGAGACAGTGAGAGAAAATTCCTGCTGTGCTTTCCTTCAGTCATGTAACAGGATGTTGGGAAGAGGAAATAATCCATTTTCCCATCTCTGTGGTGAAAAATAGAGTAAATAATAACCTTAAATTGCAGCAGGGTAGAGTTAAGTAATGATTGCTCAGAGCTCAGCCCAGGCTCAACCCGTTGGTTCTCCCAGCATTAGGAGTCTGCTCTACACCAAGGCAGTAATATTACTCTGAAATCATAGACTCCTGGAAGGGGTTGAAAGGGACCTTAAAGCTCATCCATTTCTAACCCCTGCCATGGGCAGCAACACCTTCCACTATACCAGGTTGCTTCAAGCCCCGTTCAGCCTGACTGGAAGTATCTGCGCTTCCAGGAGTGTGCATGAAGATCACCTCAGTGGCCATAACCAGATTACTTCAAAGGCAGCTGAGGAGAGTTGTCACAGCTTGGTGTGAAGCGCAAGTTCCAGATACTCAGAGCTCCTCAGTCCAAGAAGTTGGTGGGTTTGCCTCCTTGCATGAGCACTGTTTAGACTAACTCGTTAATATTATGTGATATATTGGCCTTCTCTTAAGCTGTCTGTGACCACCGCCTGACAAGGTTATTTGCTTGGTGTCTACAAGCCGCCAGTTTCAGATAGATGTTTTGTATATGCAAGTGCAAGGAACTGGTTTCAGGAGTCAAGCATTTGTTCCGTTGCTCAATGTGGCACTCCGTTGGGTGTCTCAGTAAATCCCGGGATCTGCAGTTTTCCCGGTTGGCCCTCTGTTGTCTTTGTAGAGTTTGATTTTTTTCCAGGATTTGGGTGCTGGGAAGCTGTGCTGGCAGAAGTTCTGTGCATGGCAGACCATGTTAAGAACGGCCAAGAAGCCTGGAGGTAGTTCCTGTGCTCACCTTGTCCTTCTTTCTCTTCACAGCCCTCCACGAACTCCAGTAAAAGTTGTGCCTCAAATTAGAATAGACCTTGAGCCTGAAGACAATGGTTATTTCTGGAGGAGCAAGGGAACAGAAACTACTTTGTAATGTGTCTGTCTGTTAAACCTTATATGGGATTTTGTTTTGTCACTAGCCAAACATTAAAATGCTCTCCGCTCCCCAATGCATAGGTAATGAGACATCCCGCGCTGCCCCTTCACCCTTGCCCCTGCAGATCTCCTCTGGTCCCTCCTCACCAGATTCTCTCACGCTGACCAAGACTCATTTTGCCTTCTCTGTCACCTCAACATGCACAAGCAGAGGGCAGAAGAATTAAGGATACCAAGTCATACCCCTGGGAGATGGCAGAGGAACCGGCATTACTGTAGTCATGAATCAGTGTCTGTGTCCATCTGTCATCTGGCAGAACAAACCTGACCTCCAGGCTCATTCCTTGCTTACCCCGCTGGAAGATGCTGGAAAGTGCTGCTAACACTAACTTGCTCTTAAAGCCTATACTTTTAGTTAACACAGGAAGGAAAAGGAAAAGGTACTTCACTCCCAGCACAGACCAACCATTGCCATCACTGTAGCACGTGTTTTGAAATGTCCCTTTCCTATGCAATTTTTGTTTTTTAAAGAAACACTTTAATGGACTTAATCTGTCAGGTACATGGAAGAGTGTTATTTTCCTAGATTATTTTGTTTAAATTATGGGGGCCTAACCTAAAACTTTTTTTTTGTTGTCGTTATTGTTGTCAATTTTTTTAACCTTTTTTTAATTACTGTAAAGAAAAATGAATTTTTCCTGCAGCAGGAAACATATAGTTATGAGTAGTTCTACCTCTTATTTCTAGATGCCAGGCTTTCTGTACAAAAAAATGTATTGTACCATATATAATGTGATTTTTACAGAGAAAAACAAAACCCCACAAAAACAAAACCACACCACCACAATCTCCAGGATATGGCATAGGGCTGCATCAGTCAGATTGACACCTTCTACTCTGAAGCATCTATTTTACTTAGGCTTATGTTATTTTTTTAATAATAACTTTATTATGAAGGAGATGGGATGTCACTTAAATCTCTTGTGATCTAGGAAGAGTCTTAAATGTAATGTTGACAAGCAAAATAATCACTGGCTACTGGCGTCAGTGGACAGATGCTGATTGTATTCATGCTGTTGTTCATTTCCTACATGGTGTTGTACAAATTGCTTCTTTGGAAACACAGGGGGATGTGTGTGCGTGCGTATATGTCTACACATGAGAAGACCCCAAATGCACTTCAGGCCCGTTGACAGCACAATGGAGGAGAAAGATAGTTGAGGTTGGCCAACTGGGATGGTTATCCCCATGCTTGTGTTTGCCAGGCTCAGAAACATCTGCATCCTCTTCATCCCACATCTGTTCATCATCATCTAGAGAATTTACCCTAAATCTTGACTGCAGAGTCCTAGACTATCCATCTATTCAGCAGACCCAGGCTTTTGTTTTTAAACCAAGTGAGTATGTATCACTGTGGGAGAGATGATTTTTCTCTCTGTGTGCATGTAAACGTGCATTTGGGAATTTGGAAATTGAACAGTGTCTTCATCAAGACACTGTTTTTGGTAAAACATGAGGACTACAAGTAAGACAGTAAAAGCTTCCTGAAAGAAAGAAGAACAAAGCCCATCTGTAAGGGCCGATTCCCCAGCAGAGAAAAATCCTACTGCAGAGGACAGGCACATTGCTGCTTTCTGTTCAAAACCAAAGTCTGCTTTGGTTTTATTTAACAGAATTTCATGATGGTGCTGAGACCTTTTATGCCAAATTTACTCACTCGTAGTAGCCACATCGGTGAGGGGAGGTGCAGAATAGGGCTGTTCTTTTCTTGCCCAGATGTGCTATAGAAGCAGCAACCATACTGGTCTACAGGGCTTTGGTTGAAGGTTGAGTTGATGGATTCCATGGTACTTTGAGCTTAATATGAAGAGGAAGGAGAAGCAGAGGCCCCTGCACAGCCCATACACACATGCACACGCATCCATACATTCCCCTCCTCCCTCCCAAGGGGTCTAGGTTCCAACTTCCATGATACGTGAATTGACTTGTGGCTCAGCATCCTGGGAATCCGGCCTGAATGTGCTTCAGGAAGGCTTGGGAAATGTCAGAAATGGCCAGAGCAGCATCTCTGTGATGCCTTCTGTGGTTATTTGGAGGACAGATAACCTCGGGAACTTCGACAGATGGCTTCCATCCCTTGGTCAACACCAGTCCCTGGCTCACAAAGGGAAAACAGCCTCCAGATGCTGAGAGTGTGTTGTGTTTTGCCCAGACCTTTGATTTGTAGAAATCCCAATAACTTGATGGAGAAAAGATCAAACTAGGTGGACAGAGTGAAGCAGCTTCCCATCTGCTGGCACCTGGCGATGTGTCTCCACAAAAATGAGGTCTTCCACTTCTGAACCATGTTAAATGTACTTGAAATGTATTGTCTGCTGATCTAGAGCTCTCTCTTTTTGACTTTATGTTTTTTATTTTAGCCCAAGGGAGCTGTTGTACAGAGCGTTGCTGAAGAGACAGGGCAAAGGTTCCTGTAGCTTTCCATGAAAAACACAAACCTGGTGATGGGAGCTAAAAGCTTTCCCTTCCCTGGTGCCTGGTGATAGCACTTCATTGGTGGCGGTGTCTCCTTTCTTGGTTATTCCCTTAAAAATCAACACGAAACCCAACACCTCGTGGTGGGAATGGCCACCAGCTGCAGCCACCTTTGTCCCTGCCCCTGGAGCCCACCCTTCCTTGTCATTGTGGCTGATTCATCTTTGTGGTTTTATTTTATTGTATTTTATTTTGAATCAATGCGCACTTTCAGACACTTTTATTATTGTTTTTAATTCTCTGTATTTGCTTTGGAGGAAAGAATAAAAACCGTCGTGTAAAATGAAGTGGATCAAGATGGTGGAACATAAGGAAAAAAAGCAGAAAACATTTCAATATATTAAAATGATTTTTTTTTTTCCAGTAGTATAAAACATGAAATTCCTGATAACATTATAGTGTTTTACAGTTTTATGGAGCTTTCTATTGTGACTTTTATGGAATCAAAAGATGAAGATGATGAGATATTTTAGCATTTCTATTTTTCAAAATTAAATGTATACTGAAAATAAAGTAACTTTATGCATTTATTTGAGAGTTCCTATGTTTTTCCTTGTTACGTGCTCAGTCTTATCTGACTGAATCGAGATCCCTCTATCACTGATGTCATAATCGCCATTTCCAAGAGGAAATGCTTATGGCTCTCTGGAGGGAGAGGATGCTGAGGGGAGGTCCCACTTAACAAACCATAAAGGAATTTAGGATATATGGCTGTAAAAGCGTAAAACCCCGTGGAAAGGGGTTGGAACTGGATGAGCTTTAGGGTCCCTTCCAACCCAAACCAGTCTGCGGTTTGATGTAAGGTAGTGCTCATGGCTGTCCCTTGCACAGCACTGCAATGCCCATGCTTGTGAGCCATCGCATGCTTGGCTTCAGTTTCCCTGGGTTGCTCCTCACCCCTTCCATAAGCACCAGCCTCTGCATTCTTGCATGGGGAGTGTTTAAAAAATGGTCAGTACGGGAGCTTAACTCCCTAGCTGGGTTGGATCAGGGCTTGGTTGTCCATCACCAGGTCTCACTGGGATGGGCACTTTGCCACCTGGTGTTAGGCACAGCGTGATGAAGCCAGAGGAGATGTTTGCTGAGGTCCAGTGTGGTGAAGCCATTCTGTGTGGCTCAGGTCTGTCACAGTCCTACCTCATCCCATTGTTCGGTGGAAAGCAGGACTCTCATCTGAGGGAGCAGCCGTGGGTCAGATCCAGAGGGTAGCCAGGAAGCCCCAGAGCAACACAGCATCTCCCACCTGAAAAGGTGGAAGCTCCCTGAGCCCTGATGGGCAGCTTCTGATGCAAAGAAAATGGGACACATCCCTTGTGCCAGGCTGAGACAAAGGTGGCAGGCTGAGCTTTAAGGTCCCCTCCAACACAAACCATTCTGTGATTCTATGGTTCTGTAATTAATGGGGTGAGAGATGGGACAGAACTGGGCCCAAACACCAGTGCTAATAAACGCCACTGATTGCACACAGGGCTTCAGGCTTTTTAAGCCCCTGATAGCCAGATTGTTGGGACACAGCAGCAGCAAGTGACGTCTGCTCTCTGAAATGTGCAGAGCAAATCCATTGCCAGAAGTTTCATGCTCTGGGTGTGCAGGGGTGAGTGATGCTGCTCTGGGCAGAGCTTGGCCTTGGCTCTCTGCTCCCTCCAGCATGCCCAGGCTTTTAGCATTGAGAAACACTCTGGGTATCACAGTGCCCACGTCTCACCCAGAAAGCTGCAATGGGAGCAAGCCCTGCTTGCTTTCCTCTCCTTCGTTTTAATACGTATCAACACATTTCCTAGAAACAGGCTTGCCACAGAGATGTTCTTGGCTTGCCTAAGTGTGTTTCTCTGGTTTTTCTTGGAACCCTGGAGAGCAGAGATGTGGGACTGTCACAGGAAAGGATGAAATCCTTTGATTATTTGGGAAAAGAACTGCCAAAAACAGGCTGTAACACTGGGGTGGGGGGGGGATTGGGTCCAGCCCCAGGTCAGTGATAACTGCTGTATGACACCACACTGGGAGAGCATCTGGATGCTGATGCAGACAGCTTTAGATTGATGAATATTAAATGCCCCCAGGGAGCCGTCTTTGGGGTGCTCGATGTATGGCTTTGGTATTATTGCTTAACTGTTTAAACCACTAGCTCCTAGGGCTACAGCTGGGACATCCTCCTCCTGCCACCTGCAGCACCGGGCCATGCCCCTTCCCAGCCCTCCCACCTTTCCAGCAGCAACCAGGGAATTGTTTTTAAGTCTTTATTGCATCTGCAGGAACACATCGGAGCTGTTGCAGGGAGCTGCAGGCTTGGTGGCACCCTCAGTGGCCGGGCATCCTCCACTCCAATTCCCTATGCTCCTTTCCACGTCCTGCTTCCTTGCATGCCCTGAAGAGCTCAGCCCCAGGGTTCATGGCCATGACCCTTTTTCCCCAGCCCCGTATCTCCCTCTTCCATCCATGTGCAGCCAGATGAGCGTTCCCTGATGCTAGCGTACCTCAGGGCACCTAGCCCAGCAGGCAGGACCCTCCATCACATGCATCACCCAGCTCCGAGCTCACCTAAAACAGAGGGGTACAGAGCCAAGGGGCAGCCGTGGGCATGGGGGTGGCCACCAGGATGGGGTGGGGTGGGGGGCATGGCTTTACCTTGGAGGCGCAGAACAAGGGGGGAGAGTTGGGGGAGCAGCAGTTGGAGGCGAAGTCTGCTCGCTGCTCCACCAGCTGCCCCAGCAGCTCTGGGCTGGCCGCAGGCATCGTCTGCATCAGGCTCTCCCGCAGCCTGCGGCATGGGAAACGGGGCATTAGGTACCCATATGGCATGTGGGGGTGTGGCATGTGAGGATGGAAGGGAGCAGGGCTGGATGCCCCACGAGGAGTGTGCTGTACTTTTATATATATATTGCTGCTCTTTAGGCTCAAAACTACTGTCTCCATCCATGCATCATCAGAATTTTGGCCAAATTCCAATTGTACCTGGTGATCCAGTCAGGCAGGAGGGAAATGATTACCTCTTCTTGAAGTCAAGGAAAGTTAACTCAGTGTACTGCCTGCAGAGACTGTTGGCCTTTTCCAGGAAGGGGGGCAGCTCTTTTCCCATCCTGTGGCGCTGGGTGGCAGAGGATGGTTATAACCAGGCTGGGAGAAGCCTTTGAGGAGTTTTGGGGTACACAGGGCTGGGGGAGGAGGGGGGGCAGAGCAGGGTGAGCCAATGGAGCCATCCGCACTGCTCACCTTGTTGGCCAGGCAGGCAGAGGCATCCTTAGCAAAGCAGCATTCCTCCCTGACATTTTCAGTAGCATCATATAGCTTGCTGAGGAAGACATCGGGGATGTTGGTGTGTCTCCGTGCCAGCTCAAACAGGTACCTGGAGTGGGGAAAACAAGTGATTGGATAAGGTTTTATTCCTGGTGCTGCTCAGCGTGGGATGGGGGCTGCTTTTTGCACCTTTGTGAAGCCCCTGGAGGTGATACCCCAAGGGAAGAGAGGGTGCTTGCCTGTTATCCTAATAATCATCTATCCCAGGTGAAACCAGGACACAATCAAAGCATACAGTGAAGATGAGGGCAGAAGGAAGGGTGAGAGCATCTCAGCCCCATAGGTACCACTCACCTCTTGGCATGGCGAGCTGCATCCTCGCTGCAGAGCTGCTCACTGGTTGGCTTCTGCGCCTCGGGGAGCTTTGGGGCTAGCGCTGGTGGCAGGGCCGAGATGCAGAAGTAGTTCTGCATCAGGTTTTTGCCCTTGCAGCAGTCAGCAAACCTTTCATCTCGGGCCGACAGCGCGGCACAGACTTTGGCTGTGTGCTCCGATAACTGCAAGGAGGGGAGCAGAGCGGGTGCAGGGATGGTGGGGCTGAGGACCCCTCACCAGGATGGGGTTAACTCCCACAGCCCTGCTGTGGGCTGGGAGGTGGTTCTGGGGTGGGCTCTGGGCTCCCCACCTTCTTCTGCATGCAGTCCTCAGCCACCGAGTCGCAGCACTGGGAAAACACCTCGGCAGCATCTTCTGACAGGGGGAAAAGGTCCTCAAAGGAAGCACTGGGCATCTTCTGAGCAAGCGAGGTGAGGTAGCTGGGGGGACACAAGGTGTATGAGGGGCTTTGGGAACTCAGCTCCCCTTTCCCCTCTGACAGCTCCGAGCAGGGGTTTTGCCATGTAGAGATGTGGGATGGAGGTGATGGGGAGCCACGGGGCTTGCTCTGCACCTCTGCTGTCCACAGAGCCCTCCCTGGACAGAAGGACAGAAAAGACCATTTCCCCCTTTACCTGAAGGTGAGTTTGTCCTTCCCATACGCCATGAAGCGGGAACAAGCCCGGTTTGACATCAGGGTGAGGAGGGAGAAGGATTTCCTTTCCAGTTTCTGTCACGAAAAGAAAGATGGAGATGCCATCTGAGGGAAATGGATGCCCTTCCCCAACACCTCTCCTTGGCACTCAACCAGCTCCCTGGGGAGTGAGGACGGGGACAAGCCCAGTGGTCCAAAGGGCCTCACCTCCTTCAGGAAGCAGGCGGTGGGCATGGAGGAGATGCAGCATGTGGAGACCATGGAAAGAAAGGTCCTGGTGGAGCCCAGGAGCACAGGCAGGGGTGCCTCACTGTAGCTGCTGGCGTACTCATAGAGGAACCTGCGGCAGAGGTGGATGAAGAGACCCAGCACCATGGGGAGGGATTCAGGGGATCACGGGGTTATAGAATCCCAGACTGGTTTGGGTTGGAAGGGACCTTAAAGCTCATCCATTTCCAGCCCCCTGCCATGGACACCTTCCACTAGAGCAGGTTGCTCCAAGCCCTGTCCAACCTGGCCTTGAGCACTGTCAGGGATGGGGCTTCTCTGTGCCAGCCTCACCACCCTCACAGAGAAGAACTAATTAATAATAATTACTAATTATAATAATAGTTGATAATTAATAATCCTAATGCCTAATCTAAATCTCCCCTCTGGCAGGTTAAAGCCATTCCCCCTTGTCCTGTCCCTACAGGCCCTTGACAAAAGCCCCTCTCCAGATTCTTTGTTGGCCCCTTTAGGCACTGGAAGTCTGGGGATTTGAGGCATTGTGGCTGCCAGGGAATGGGATCTCTCTCCAGATACCACCCCATGCCGCTGGCTTATGGCACCAAGCCACTGAGTGGCCTGGTGGCCCCTCTGCAGCCACCCCTATGGACAATGGTACCCCTCCTCCCTTGGGTTAAATCCCATTCCTGGGGCCGGGGAAGCTGCAGGACACCACAGCCTTTTACTCTGATGCACTGGTAGCCCCATGGCCACCAAGAGCCTCAGCAGCAATGTTAGAGAGACAAGACCAGGAGAGGCTGGCTTGGTGGGACCCACTCAAGCTCAACTGAGTGTCATTGCGCAATAAGTGCCACCCCATCCAGGCAGACCTGTCAGCAAAATCCTTGGGGTCCTTCTTGAAGGCCTGGCAGAGCTCCTCATTGGAGGGCTGGACGTAGCGGGGCAGCTCCTGGGGCGGGTGCCGCAGTGCTGCCAGGCACAGCTTCTGCTCCAGTCCCTCATGGGCACAGCAGCCGGCAGTGCCGGGGTGAGCTGGGA